GCAGATATATTAAATACTGTACTGTACAAATTAAAAGTAATTAAAAAATATTTACATAGGCCTACAGTAATGAGTTATTATTATTAATTATTATACAGTATACCCTTACTAAACTACACAGCTTATTCCCATCCCCCTCTCCCTGACCTCAGACCCATCTTCCTCCCTTATATTTATCTTATTCCCTCTGTATTTAACATGCAATATTAGTACACATTTAGTACTTTACATTATTTACAATGCCAAATGATATAATATGGATCCAGAAAGTTGAGGCCAGGGAGGGACTTTCACAGTTGGAGAGTCCATACCACCTCAGACCCACCATGGTTGGGGCTGAGGTAAGAACATTTATGAATATGGCACCTTCAGATGGTCGGAAATGGCACTTCAAAGACATAAAATTGTGAATATGATTTTCTTTTCATCTCCAGTTAAAAAATATTTTGACGAATTTAGTGGGGCCCCGGGCCGGCAGCCCCCCCCCCCCAAACTCTTTATTCCGCCACTGGATATAATATGATATGTCCTACAGTCGATTTCAGACACACATTATGCTGTTGCCCTTGTGGGGCTGAGATAAGAAAATGTATTATTATGGCACGTCTTGATGGCCGGAAATGGCACTTACAGACTTAAAATTGTAAATACTGTAATTTTATTGTTCTGGACAGGACTTAAGAATTTGGCCGGAATTCGGATTTGGGAGATCCGGTTTTCAGAAAGTATTTTAATACAGTTAGAATAGGAATGATTTTGGGACCGGTTTTGCGTGAAATCCGGTTTTCTGGGTGGTCGGTATTGAGAGAGTTGACTGTATAATTTTCTTTTTTATCTCCATTTTTAATTTTTTAAATTTTTTTTTTGACAAATTTGCTGGGGTCCCGAGCCGAGAGGGGCCCCATCAGGCCGACTTTTCCCCTTCTCTTTAAAAAAACGTTATAAATGATATACATGCCCTACAGTCTATTTCAGAGGCACATTACAGTGTATGGTGTTATTTATCAACAAAGTCCTTTTTGGCCAAGGTACTAGATCGAGGAACCTATGGGTAGGGCCCCTTTGGGGCCCCTAGAATTTCGGGGCCCTGCGGACCGCCGCATGAGAGCGCATACAGTAGGCGTTAGGCCACTGGACAGAAACAATATAAAGTACCCAATGCTTCCACATGGCATTGACTAGTTTCTGCAGAACTAGAGGGTGAGTTATTTAGTGGGCGAGTTTGTTAGGGGAGATGGGCAAGTTTGATTGGGGGAAAGTTTGTGGGGGCAAGTTTGTGGGGGCATGTGTGTAGTCACGGGTGAGTTTGTAGGGACAAGATTGTAAGGAGAGAGTTTTCGAGAGGATGAGTTGACTAGAATTCTTGATAAGTACAGTACAGTATGTCACATCTGAAACAGATGGCATTACAGTATTCGTTTCTTTGTTTTTTACACTCTCACTTTTTCTTTTTAGCTTGAGTGTTTACAAAAGCTTGTATTAGCAGGAATCAGCTATGATGTAGCTACGGAAAGGTTTAACCAAACTCCGACTCACGTTGCTTCGTTCGGCAATCAACCACATTGTCTACTCTGGTTACTTCAAAATGGAACTGTGGTGAATAGAAGGGTATTGTATTTTATTGTTGAACTGTTATTACAGCCCTTTATTGTTGAATTTGCTATTTCGTTGTTTTACCATTTTCATGACCTTAATTTTAAAAATTGCTCAAATACAGTGCAAACAAATAGGCATAATGTGCCTATATATGCTGATGATGTGATGTCATCATAACCATATATATTTAGGTATTTCACATGTTTTTGTCAAATAATATTTGATAGACTGCACAGGTCTTTACGTTGTTCTGCCGTGCTCTATATATTTAACATTTTATTTTCTTAATAGAACATTCACTGTACCTACATGTAGTAATTGAATCTCTAATTGCATAATATGTACTTCCCTTGAGTTCATTTCCTTCCATGATATAGTACACAACATGAAAATATATTTTAATGTTATTTTTACATTGCATTTAAAATAACTGTCAGTGTGTTAAGCCCTTTCCAGACTCTTAAACTTCATTTAACAAAAACATGTTTAATACCTAAATATGGTCATGATGACATCACATCATGACCATATATAGGCACATCATGACTATATGGGGATACCACAGTTTTTTTGTCAACAAAATTTGATACAGTAGTGTGGAGAGGGCTTTAGAGAAATAATGAACACAAAATGAGTTAAATTTATATATTTATATCTGACATTTTAAGAAGATTATTATTAATTTTTCTTGTCTCCGATCTCATTCAGGTGTTGGATCATACCCATTTAGGCAAGACTTTTTTTGTACCTTGTTTGGCAAACCCACCGAATGCAAATATTGATTATTTCGAATAAAAGTAAAATTTTATTTTTGGCCAATTAGCACCCCCGTTGCCGTGAAAAGTTAGAAGTTTCAGAAAGAAATAAAAGTTTTTCTTTATTTTTATATTATGCCCTCCGCTGCCTTAAAATCTCCAAAGATAAGATATTTCTTCCTAATTATATAAATTTGAAGCATTTAACCATCCCATTTTACATTCACCAATCAAATTTTATTTTTATTTTCTCTTCCATCTGGATGTTTTTGGCAAAATATTTGCTATTAAAATAAGAAAACAAAATTTTATTTCAATTTTTATTCAGCCCTTCTCTGATGATCTTTAAAAGAAATAATTACTGATGTGAAACAAGGAATAAAAAAGAGTCTTGCCTTATCAGTGTGTGTCAATGTTTGGCTTTAGATAAAAGTTTGTGTGTTGTGCCCAAAAAGAAAAAAAAATATTAGAATAAAGAATCCATCCTAATAATACTAACCAGGACAAGAGTTAAGGGGCATTCACACTGAATTAGTATTAAAGGAAAATAAATGGTATAATATGATAATCAGAATTTTCAGATCAGAAAGCCTATTGAACCTATCAGATATTGAATCAGTATTTAAGGATAGGTACGTTTATTTAAAGTTTTGCTCAGCGCATTAGAAAAATAGTCTGAATTTTCAGATCTAATGTGAAATGCAGCTTTAATACTGTAAGGAGTTTTTTTAGCTCTAGTAACACTCGGCTGGTTGATTTATTAGTTGATTGATCTTATTTATCTCTGCACTGCACCTATTATACTGCCCTCATCAGAGCTTTTGAGATTATGAAAACTTGTTTGACCTAATGATAATGTTTCTCAGATTAAAAAGTGTCTTTTATAGTTAAAGAGGTTTTTCACATGTGTGCTATAATTTTCTATCCACACTGTCAACTTCATGTGACACCAAAGTGTGCTCTGCCCATAACTTAAAACCTCGAATTGAAGCCCAATGGGCTTAATCTCGAGATGAAGCCCATCTCAAATTGAAGCCCCCTCTTTGGTTTGCAAAATTTTCCTTGAAAAGAAGCCATCTCGAAAAGAAGCCCAGCGGCTTTTCAAAAAAGCATAGGCTTCTTTTCGAGATAGTACAGTACATACACTGTGCATGAATTTCAGAAAATAAAATAAATTAAAAACATGTTTGGTTTATACATTTTCATTTAGTTTAGGTGATTTAATGCCAGCTAAATACACTCCATAATACATGTTAATGTTACAATGACCTTATTTATTGCTAAATTGTACAAATTAAAAAAATTTACAGCATTCATTTTGAAAAGAAGCCCCCACTCTTTACTTTGCAAAAGTAGTCTCAAAAAGAAGCCCATCTCAAAAAGTAGCCCACCTCGAAAAGAAGCCCATCCAAAGTTGGCGAAAAAAAGACGAAGCCCAGGGCTTCAATTCAAGGTTTTACGGTATATAATTAGGTGCAGTACTATGACATCATAATGCCCATATGTTATGGCACATCACACAAAATAAAATTCGATAGGACAAATTTGTGTGAATATGTCCATATATGGGCATGATGATGTCATATTATACCTAAATATGGGCATATTACATCCAAATATGGCCATAGCACATTTTTGTCACATAAAATTTGATAGTGTGGACAAAGCTTAAGAGAATAAAATTTGACCTTTTTTTTGATTGTAGGAAGCTTAAGAGAATAAAATTTGACGTATTTTTTTTTTTTATTGTAGGACTACTTGGGAGAGACAGCAATGCACAAGGCGGCTAGGAGTGGCAGTATAGAGTGTTTGAAGCTACTGCAATCATTTGGAGCAATATCAAGGTACAGTATACAGTATGGATGGATGGATGGATTTATTTGGTGTAAACACTAAGGATAACCCACGGAAGTCTATAAAGAAGACTTATTTCCCGTGGGCTCCTTCTGGTGGTGATTGGGCAGAATACGGCGAGACAATCCCCTACTATTTTCCAATAGTGTACAGTGTTCTTTAACATGCACACGGACCATAATGGACCAACGGCCCTCCAGCCACACTGGACCAATGGCCCTCCAGCTGAAACACAAGGAGAGCAGCGATGGGAATTAAACCGGGGACCTAGATATCTCCACGGTTCAGTGCACACACAGTGGCTACCACCTGTTTAGCCGACTGAGCTAAGGTGCTCTAATACTAATAGATATTATTTTAACTGCATAGTGATTGTTGCTTGGCTCTGTTGTTTGCATAGGACTTTTAAGTTCCATTATTGTACTGTACTCTTAGAGCCGATGTTATCTTTTACCAGAGTATAAAACTGTAGGAGGTCCGACACTCAGGGTTTTGTTGGAACGCAGTCCTATCTAAAAAAATGTACTGTTTCAAACTAGAGGGCGTACTTCAAAAGAACGTAAATAGCGTTTGTAAATAGGGTTGCACTCTAAACCCCCCCCCCCCAATCTTGTGGTTTTACTTTTTTTAAATTTTCCATTGCTTACAAAATCAGGGTAGTCAAACCTCTTGCAGTTTAATACTCTTTGCTTTTTAATACTGTCATCACTTCATACAGCAAACTTAAGCAATTTACATTCTCATGTGACTATCATTTTGTTAATTGTTATCTGCTATGTGGTATAAAAAGGAGATCAAATATGGATTCATGCTTCATATCATCCCTCCTGCCTTGATGAATAATCAGTTATTCATTTGTATCCTCAAGCCTCATGAATATCCATTAACAAAAACAAAAAAATTAATTCCATGGCTCAGTAATGTTTAAAAAACTGAAATTTATGTACAATTATAAAATAATATATAGATATAAAATATAAATAGGATTATATGAATAAAAAGGAATCAAGATAAAAAGAAGTTGCTCTTGGGTTCTCAAGTCCTCAAATTTTTGCAAAAATTTTGAGCAAATGCAGAAAGGGGAGTTTGTAACTGGAGGCACATTGTACATGATGTAACAAGTTGCAATATTCATTTAAATATATTTCAGTTAACATTAAACATTTTTTTTTTCTTTAAAGTGTGCCGAATAACAATGGACATACTGCACTGGACTTAGCAGTGTCCTGCGGCCATGAGCAGTGTGCTGAGTATTTACAACAGACCATGAACAGTGTTGCCGTCCACTCTAATGGTCATCCCCTGGCAAACGGTCTGAACAGAGTTCAGGCTGGCGTGTTTGAACATGTTAATGGTCATACAGATGAATTTAATGTCGATAGTAGCATGGATCTACAAGCTAATGGTCAGAGTTGTTTTTTTAGCCGGAAGAGGACGATGATAGACAATGATGAAAATGGATCAAAGAAGGCAAGAACAGATGGTAGGTGTATTTTTAGGTGGTTTTTTTTATTTTTTATTTTTTATTTTCACTCAATATGTAAAGTCATACAAATTAACTAAGCACTTTGTACACGATGCACACATTTTTCAATAATCACTCACTGTTATTGCTAATTCCCAAGCTTTTTGCCATAAGCTTTAAAATCATTGTGGCATCCTGTAGATCTAGGAATTATCTAAAGGAGGGGGAATATTGGGCCACCCCTTTAAAATCTGATGACCCTTAATATATAGTTCATGATATGGATAAATATGCAACCTAATTCCGTACCTCTGGATTGATCCTTATTTCTAGTTGTCCCCTCTCCACTGGATCTCTCTTCTCCATATTTATCCCCTCCAAATCCCTTTTTTTTTCAGGTGGGAGGACTTTCCCCTGTTTTTTTTTTTTTTGGGTCCTTTCCATTTGGATTCCCCTTTGGATCCATTTCTGAATGAATCCCTACTTCTGAAGCTCCTCTCCCCACTGATTCCTCTTATCCAGATTTGTCCCCTCTGGGTCCTTCTTTTTTGGAGTCTTCTCTCAATGATCGCTGTTAACCTGCATGTGGTGACCCTGCTATGACTGTTCCAGTCAACTAATAACATCAACTAGAATACATCATTCGCAATTATTCGCTGCATTAACACCTCCTGTGATTATGGATCCTTTTTTGGAGTTCTCTCTCAGTGATCTCTACCTATCAGATCCCTTTCCATTGGCTCCCTCTCTGAATCTGTCTTTGGGTCCTTTCTATTTTGATTCCCCTTTGGGATATTCCCTCTGTGTATCTATCCTTTGCATCCACAATTGAAGGTATGCTAGCCCTAGTAAACTAAATCACACCACACACCCTACCTCAATTGACATTGTTAATACCATTTGCTTACACCTTCTAACATCAGTCATTATAGATGGTGTAAAGCCGGGCACTCGCTGCTGGCGCGATTCTATGAAGAACACAATGACGCGTTCGCAACGGATCATTATAATGACGATCTGTTTAGACTGCCACCAACTATCAGCTGATGGCATCGCGTTGGCTAGCGCTTACAGGGAGTGAAGTCAGACTTGTTGTACGCCGGTCGTACAGCGTTAGTGCTTGTGAGTGCCCGGCTTAAGACGGCTTGTCATGTCCACGGAATAACATGTGGCCAGTCTTTTAATGCACCGCCATCTCATTTCTATAGACATTACAACAGCGGTCAGCTGTGGCTTGACCGCCATCAGTCACGTTGATCTTCCCGACGAGTCCATGATGACCGAATCAACTTTAAAAAATAATATTGAAGCTATGGAGATGGAGCAAGTTCCTCGACGTAAACCAGCTCGATGGAGATGTCAGGCTTTTGTAATATGAATCTCGTAAAGTCTTCACAGAAATTCAACCAGCATTGTCATCAGAGAAACTCCAAAACATATCTTTAGTGTGGTCTGGTCTTGTGCTTTTTGTGGTGCATACAGTAACTGTTTGCAAGATAACTCATTATAATGCAGTGCATCCTCCAATTCGAGACCCTTTAATTCCAATACCCTTCTAATTCGAGACTACTTTTTCGAAGAATCAAGTAACAATCTTCAATCTATTAATGCTATATGCTAACACCATCTATGTGGAAACGGAACCCTGAGACCACTGAAAATTTTCAGGTCCCAAAGATGGGCTCGAAATGGAGGGCAAACTGTAGCCATTTCTTAAAATCTATTATAACATGTACACTAAATATCTAATATTCTATCAATTTAATAACTGTAATTGAATTTGTATTGAACAAACTTTTAATCTGTGTATGCACAATTTCAAAGGTAATTGTAATGGATACGGTAGTAGAAATTGGACTCGATGAACAATTTAGAAAAAAAGTATAATTTTTTTGCATACTATATTGTGCAAACTGTAAATTGTTTATATGTAAATTTAGAGTTACTGTATTTTATTTTATACTTATTTGGTATTTTATTCTCTTTTTTTTTTTTATCTGGCTTAACACTTTGATGAAGCTTGTGCATTCTTACTTAGATTAGTATTTTACAGATCTTGTACAGTACAGTATATTGACTAGGTGTTATAAAGTGGTAGAGCGAAGTTCAGTACAGTAGCTTGCAAAGTACAGGGTTCGAATCCTAGGATTACATAAATGCAAAATTCATCTCAACTATCCTGCTTTACATTTATTTTTGTAGATTATGAACAAAATCTTCAATTGCTTTTCATATCATTGTGTATTATTTGTATTTTTAAACAAAATTTAATGACTAAATACATTATTTTACTACAGTACATGAAAAGTCCAAGCTGGTACATCTTGGTCCCATAGAGTTCAGTCGGGTGCCAAAATGTTAGTGTGTTTGTTCCATTTTTAAATTTTAATTGGGAAAAAATGTTTCAGTTACAGTATTTTACATGTATTGTAATATACAACAAACAACAGTTTTGTATTTCTGCAGAGGGGACTGCATTTCTTATATAATTTTGTTTGTCTGAACAACATCTAATGTAATTATTATAGATGTTCTCAGTATTGGTCCGAATAACTCTGTTGAGGACACAACAGTTGAAGAGGAACATATGGAAGATGGCGCACCTCGGGTCAATGAGAATGCGATGAACCTTGTCCATCGTCCGATAACAAACCAATATAGGACCCTCCGAGGACATTACATTTGATAAAAAGTACTGTATCTAGACTCAGAAATTATGAGATTTTGAAGACATTATGAGAGATTAATAATACTTGCCATCATCTACTGTTTCTACCTTTTATATTTTATAAAATATTTATAATAGATCTGTTTGTTTTATATTTATTTATTAGTTTTTTTGTTTATGTATGTTAGTATGTATAGTATTTATATTGTTTGAATGTTTATTTTTATTTTATTTGTCACTATTTATTGTTCATAGATTTGATAACATCATTGTATCAATATTAGTCTTGCCAGATTAGAACATAATGCAGAAAACTCAACTGTTATTGTATATATCAATTTGTTTGGTCCATTTTAACTGCAAATGCACCGCCGTGAAAATCACACTATCTCTTAACCATAGCGCTTCTTCAAAAACATTGACTGTTTTTACTACAAAAACCATAACTCAAAAACTAGAGGTCAGATAAATTAATTTGAAACAAGTTTATAGAAGGTTGTAAATATAGCTCTTGTAAAAAATTTACAAAATATTTTTTTTCAAATATTTTGCCCCGTCATTTTTGGGTTGAATTACTATGTATAAGTGATATCAGTATGTTTTCAGTGGGATTTGAGCTGGCTTATGAGGAGATGTTTCTTTACGTCATAACTTTGCCTACACTAATCCGAATTTTCTTGTAATCAGTTATATATAAAAATTAATCTGATTATATAAAATCTTCTTCCATCATTTTTTTCATTCTTAAGGGCTTTCAATAGCGTTTTTCGTATAATGGAATCGTCCAAACACTGCGCCGTGAAGCGTGCTCAATCTGTTCATTTTTGCCTTTCTTACACGCGTGCAGTATTAACCATATTTTGTTACGTGGTCAAAACATCCCAAACAAATTAATATGCCTTGTGTAAAAATAATTTAAAAAAAATTTATTTATGCATGTGTCAAATTATAATTTTTTTATTACTTGTGTTTATTGTTATTTTCCTTAATGATTGATTTATATATGATATCTGTTATGTATTGTTATGTAAATCAATGCATAATTTATGTATTCTATATTTCTATAATTCTATTTTATGTACAGTACATTTTTCATTTACCTGTTTACATACACTGTTAGTTAAAACGCAACAATGGCTTGCCATACAGTGCAGCATTTAGATGTACAGTGTTTAATCATTTTTTACTTGCCTTTAAAAATTCCACTTTCTTTTTTATGCATGCAGATTGCCTTACTCCCCTGCAGTTCACAGATAGCACGGTCCCAGGACATCCATTGGCTGCTCAGCCAGCCCCACCACAGGCAGCCAATGGTAGTGCAGCCAATGGTAGTATACCTAACACTAACGGAACCCACGGTCTGTTAGATGTTAACTGCAACTCAGAAACCAATGATATGCAAGTTGATAGAAATGAAGATGCTATGTCGAATGAGAGTCACTTTATGAATGGTGTGGACGCCACATCTGTACATGGTAACCGTTCCAGCCCAATTTCTAGTATGGTTGAACATCAGAGGTCAGTGGAACAGGCTCAGGGTTACGACAGTGTTATGTACGATTCCTTGTACGGAAGCACACCCTTCTGCCATGCTTATTGATGTAGGATTTTGATTACTCTTATCACACTACGTTCGTGTTTGTACACTTTTAGCTTGATATGATAAAAACTTGAACAAGTGGATTCAAAGGTGGGGAGGGGGGGGCAGCTATATTTATTTATTTATTTTATACATACTCCTGCTTTGCATATGCTGCGCATTAAAATGCCAATTTTTAAGGACTTTAGACTTTCCGCGTTGTTATGGGAACTGTACTTTAAAGTGAATTTCTAAGCAGCAATGGAAGTAATTGTTCTGCTTCAATTTTGAATATAGTTATTAATAGTTTTTTTCTGGACAATTTTTAATATTTTTTTAATTTTGTTTATTTTAGATGCATTTTGTGAATACTAGATTTTGTTTAACTAGATAATATGTTTTTATTCCCATAGCTACAATGAGACTTTGTCTAATGGACAATTTAAATTATTGTTTACAGTTGTTTTGAATGTAATTTATTAATAGTATTTCAGTTATTTTTTTCTGGACATTTTTTTAAATAATTACGATTAATTAAAATTCACAAAAAATTATGTTGATGCAGACGCGTTTTGTAAATATTAGTTTTTTTTTTTAATAAAAAGTTTGTGTGTGACGCTGTGTTTGCAGTAAAATCATGGCAGTTTTATCGCCATGATGATAATCACTTTTTTTTATGCTTGAAAATTTTGTAAATTTGTATAAAAAGCAAGGAACGCCTGAAAAGATGTTTTTGGATGATAATCTACATGTAGCTTCTAAGTAAATTGTGATTTTAAATCCAGTATAATATGATCAAACTGACTATGGTATACGACACATTCCGCTAGGTTGGTCACATGATGTATAGTGGGTATCAATTGTAAACAGGCAGCGTGAGTGTTGCTCGGTTATAGGAAAATGTGTGGCTTCTTCGGAGTGTAAAGCACATATTTGATGTTGAAGAACGTCAGTTGAAATGCCAGTAAACTATAATATATTGATTGGATATTGAACTTGAGAATTTTTTTTCATAATGGTTTGCTAATGCTCTAAAAGATACTGGCCACAAACCCTGAGATTTTTCGAGAAATGCTAGGCCTAGGCCCCTGCATCTATGACCTGTTTGGGTATGCACAAGAGTCTTCAATCCGCGAACTGCGATTTTGACACTACGATTTCTAGGCTAGCTAAGGTTTACGAAGAATCACATAAACTCCAAAGCATGCAAAGCATATTGAACGCTAGAATAAGTAAATGAACACTATATGTGAACAATCATAGTGCCTTTCCTTGGTAGTTAATTCTCGCGTTAATATTGGCGGTTGGTTTACGCTACCATAACATTACCCTTTCCTATTAAAAACACTGATCGCACTGTAAATTCTGCAGAGTTATACCCACTATAAGGTCAGGTGACGGGCTGTAAACTAGCCTGGAGGAATGTGTCCACACTGTTTTGTTGTGACATCTACACTTAAGTTTAGTACTGTAATTATAAGGACAATGATATTTATTTGAAAACATTTGCACGCAGAGAACGCTATCTTGTTTATAAGATCTTAGGGTATAATTAAACACTATTTTGAACTGTAAAATTCATTCATGCATTGGAGTTTTTTTTTGTTTTTTTTAATGTGTATTATGTATCAATACCGTCTAAAAATATGACAGTAAAATGCTAGAAGATGCATAGTGGCGTATCTATGAGTATAAACATTGGGAAGGGGAAACAAAGGTTAAAAGGTGGGGGAATGAGGATTAAGTAAAGGAGGTGCTAGCTGGGAAATATTAGGTTATAAGCAATTTTTAACTTTAAGTGTAATCCTTTTGCTCAGCAAATTTCCAGTATGAGGCATCTTGGGATGCAAGCATTTCCCCACATCACCCACACCCCCCCCCCCTTTTGCCACCACCACCACCACTACCCCTAGAACTATTACTTGCTTATGTACTTATCTATTACAATATGTATTTGATGATGTTATATATTTTCGTAATGTTCAATTTGTTGCTAGGTTTTTATTTATTTATATATTTATTTATTGAACATATTTATACAGGATAACATATCAGAAAAGTGTAATAGCCTGTTTTACATAATGGTCCTGTATTTAATAATAAAGTGTAAATGTTTAAGATTTTTGTTTTTACCATGCTCTGCTTTTGTATACAGTATAGAGTAATGTAACAAAATTTTAGTGCTTTTATGTAAAAAGTAAAGTATTAAGACAGCGAAAATTGTTAAATACCATATTGGACATAACAGTGAAAGTCTTTCGTCATCGTATGAGTTGTACTGATATTAAGTACTGTAAATTTTAGCTGTTTTTTTTTTTTTTTTTTTAAGTGGTGGTTAGAAGTTGTCGTAAGTTGATCCTTAATGTGTAACATCTTGTATAAAGCCCTGTCCAGACTATCAAACTTTGTTTCCCATATATAGTCATGATGTGCCCATATATAGTCATGATGTGCCTATATATGGTCATGTGATGACCATATTTAGGCATGTGACATGTTCTTGTCAGGTCTGGACAGAGCTTAAGAGTTGTCCTATAAATAACTTTTGAGTGTGTATAAGTGTTTACAAACAGACTGCATCTCATGCTTATCAAGTGGTTTGTGAATAAAATATTTTTGTTTATATATGACTTCGGTATGACATACTTTGATTTGTTATAGATGTAAAATATTGTATAGTATTGTCTGGGTGCTATTAGTTTCACCATGAAGGAATATTTTATTCCTCCATGGTTTCACAGATGTTTTGGTTTAAAACATGTAAACGTCTTTAAAGTGTTTTAAAAACAAGTTCTATTTCTTTACAAATGTTTTTTTGCATAGTTTTGTTTTGTTGCATTAAAAATAATAGCTGTTAATATAGAGTATGTTTTGATTCAAAATTAATTGTATTGATGTGTTCTGATTGATTGATTGATTGATTGATTGATTGATTGATTGATAGATAAATGTACTATGTAGTGCAGTACGAAACCTAGTACTAGTAGTTATAGTTATGGTGTAGTTAATAGTAAACAATGTTCTTTTGATTTTATCCTTTCTTCAATCATCATGAATGACACATTATTTGATTTAGTAATAATTTTCAGTTGTTTGGATAATTATTTACTTTGAACAACCTAATTATATTGTTTAGATATAGAGATTTGATTTTTTTACAAAACTGTGTACAAACTCTAAATGGACCTTTTTCGCTTAAGCTCTGTCTACACTATCAAATTTTGTGTGACAAAAAAGTGTGATATGCCCATATATGGGCATGATGACATCACACCATGACCATATATAGGCATAGCATTACTATATATGGGCTTGTCACATTTTTTTGTCAAAGTAAATTAATAATTAAATAAGTAAATAGAGCTTTAGTCCCGCCCCTTGGATATTGTTGCTAATGTCCCAAAAAACGACATAAGCCTGGTTCTCACGAGAGCCCTAGTATCCGGATCGGGAGCTAACCGTTAGCGCCAGCGTGAGAACGCCCGATCGGTTAGCGCTAACCGTTAGTGGTATCCGGATACGCTAACGGTTAGCAAGCGCTATCGGTTAGCAAGTTGAAGGCGTTTCTACCATCAACCAATCACACGTACGCGTTTACAATTTCCAGTTTCTTATTGGCCAGTGATTTGATCATATTGTTGGTATCCAGATCGGGATTTTCTCGCATGGCAACTATCGGTTAGCGGGATCCAAATCCTGCTAACCGTTAGCTGCCGCCTGAGAACATAACCATACTGTTAAAACGTACGCGAACATGTGCGTTTTGTGGGTGAACACATACGCATGCGTTTTGGACATGTGCGTGTCCCTAGCACTGTACTGGTTGTTCAGTTGTTAAGTTTGATTGACACCCTGGAAATGGTCCATTGCAGATTGTCTATTGTAAAGACGACATACAAGTCCAGTTTTTTTAGATGTATTTCTATAATGTTTTGTTGCTCTCTAATGTATTTAATTTATATCGTATCTCTGCTAACTGAACCTCTTAAACCAATTAGAACTTTGTAAAATGCTTTGCAATAAACTGAAAATAAGTAAAATGTCTAACAGACTATTCACTCTATAAATTCTGTCGGAAATATTTTCAAATGTATAAAATACATTTTGCATCAAATTGTACTAAAAACACAAAAGCTCGCATTATATTAGTAATCAAACACATTTAATCATCAATTAAAATTTACAAAGAAAAAGTAAGATACAACATCTTAATACGATAAGTATAATACATAGGCCTACTCCAATTAAGTATCGAAATGCACGCCAGTGTCGGGATTCAATATTTCGACATTATTTATGTCATCAGGAATAATAATGATGACATAATTAATGTCGAAATATTGAATCCCGACACGATGGCGTACATTTCGATACTTGGAGTATGTATTATACTATCTTATCTGAGATTAATGAGTGGACCTTTCGGTTTTTGGAAAACATCTTAATACTGTAATTACGTTAGAAATTGGGATCAGTGGTTTGTTAGTGGAGAAAATGGCATCAGTTTGAACGCATTTTGCAACGATAGCAACGGAGTAGTGACGTAACACTGTAGTGCAGTACTCTATTTTTATGTTAGTCTAACTTGTAATGTAGTAGACTGCTGTTATAAGCCTATAAACAAATACGATGTAGAGACGCTCACCGAGGGGTAATCAGAAGCATGTTTAATAGACCGTATATTGCTGTCTATAATACTGTATTTACATATAGGCCTACAGTATACCGTAGGCCTAGTTTTCAAAATGCATGTTTAAATAATGGATATCATTAGGTCATTGGAAGAATATTTTGTTCTTGAATGCAACAGCACTATTGAGCATTAATTCGTTGTCTTCTTCGTCTGATGTTTAAGCCATGCGACACCGGAAAGCTTACCCCCGCACATCTCCAATTGTATGGAAGAACTCGGCGTCTAAAAAGAACAAAATATGGGAAATTCAGATAAGAACCTAATACAGTGACACCTACGACAAAATACTCTATGGCGCAAAATATAAAATTTAAGATAAACATTATTTTGTCATGACCACGAAACAAGGTGTGCATGAAATTTGGTTTTCTTGATGCTTAACCTACAGTACATAAATACATAGTTACATGGTTTTCCCTTTTCGCCTATCTTCTACCCCGTCCCCTCTCCATTTGGCCTGTTCTTACCAGAGGTACATGAATAACTGCCGTTTACAGCTGCACATATGCTATTTTCTGGACAAGGATTTGACTTGCAAGGGTCTTCGTTTTCACTAACGGCATCTTCACTTGTGGCTAAAACAATATCAATGACTTTTATTAACATCAACATGATACAGTCAAAAGTACACAAAAAAGCCTACATTATATAAAGAAATTATGAGTGTAGGCCTACATTTAGGTCGGACGTAAAACGTGCGACATTTCCTCATGTCGCCATAATTGGATGAAGTATGTTATTTTGAACATTGTCCAAACAATTTTTAAAAATTTCTTTTTTAATATTGTTTTGCAAGAGAGGTTAGTGCCAAAATCAGATGACCCCCATTAAAGCGGCAAACGTCTGCTCATAAAGAAGCAATTCGAAATTGGCGATGTCATTTTGCATGTCATTAAAACAGTAATTCTTATCGATCATTGTAACATTAACAGTAAAATGAAATTCAGAATAAAAATTTAAAAGCAGTGTAAGTTAATAGTGGTGGTGATTGTAGTCAGTGTCATAGTCGGATTTTCACACAATGTGGTACAATTCCTGACCAACTAAGTTACCCATTTTTAACATATTTTGCGCATGTTATCATGGGCATCGATCATGACACTGACCCACTTTTCAAAGTAGGGGGTTATCACATCGATTGTCTCCCCCCCCCCCCACACTTTTCACCAATCTTCTATAATTAAAACCCCACTTTTAAAAGCGAATGGAAAGAATAACAATTAAGCATGACTCATGAATTTTTTCTGTTCACTTTTCTAAGTGCGCTACGTATTTTCCGGATCAAAACCGAATGAAAACGCAATTGTATATACATTTCGTAACCATCTCAGAAACCACTAGGTCGATTTTATGGGTGCAACGGTTATCAGAGGCTGAATTTATTGTGAAAACAATGTACTGAACGTTGTTAAAATTGGAAGCGTGTATACTTATTAGGCAAATATTTTTACAAACTCAAAAGTGCACAATTTCTACTATAAAGTATTTATTCCTTTTGTATATTATTATGACCCGTACGTAATAGTGTTTAATATTATCTACATACATAGGATTACTGTTTTTCCTAATTTCAAAAAAATTATAGTCATTTGAATTGTATCTAGCCATTATTAAACAATAATTATACAGCCTTTGACACGGATATGGCTATCTATTTCGATTAAGTTTACAAACTCCAGTGTTGCGTTGACGCAATCTCTCAATGACGTCATATTAATCAGTGGCGGATTCAAGTGGGGCCGAGTCGACCCTAAATTTTTCGAAATAATTTTTTAAAAATGGAAAAAACAAAGGAAAATTAGAATTAGAATTTAGGTCTGAGAGTGCCATTTCCGGCAATCTAGGGGTGTCATAATCATAAATTTTCTTTCCTCAGCCCCAACCATGGTGGGGCAAGGTGATCTACTTTCCCAAATTGTGCAAGTCCCTCCCTGTCCCCCCATTTTCTTTTCTGGAGCTGATAATGATAAATTAAGTAAATCACCTTTGTGTTTGTGAAATCAAAATGCTTACTAATGTTTTGTGTGCTTCCTATTTCCCTAGTCTTCTTCGAATATAAATTAGACGGTATTATTTCCACTCACAGTAGTGTAGTCGCAATATTACTTTCACAAAAGTGAAATTCAAAAAGAGGAGTAAAGCAAAAACCTCTTGATTAATTTTAAAAGTACTGTTCATGCAAAAATACTAAATTAATGACTGTTTTAAGTTTATCTTATTTGTTTTTCATGGTTCGAATTTTAAATACGTTACAAGCTAATCAGTAGATAATAAATCATTATTTTTATGAATGTTAGTTTGCACGAAATATATAAGTGGGCATAATTATGACTAAAAGGGTAATTTTAAAAATTTTTATGATGAGTATTTTAGTGGCAGATTCAAGGGGCCCAGCCGGCCCACCATCCCTAATTTATTTATTTTTTCCTGAAATTTAAAAGTGGAGAAAAATGAAAATTATATTCAAATTCAGTCTGAGAGTGCCATTTCCGACCAACAGATGTGCCATAATCATAAACTTTCTTACCTCAGCCCCAACCATGGTGGGGCTGAGGTGGTCTACACTCTCCATTGCCCAGCTCTATTTCAAATTACTGGATCCACCACTGGATATTTTGAAACTTCGTATCAAAATAAATGTTAATTGCATTGCTTAAAATCAATTAAAAGGCTATTTGCGCCAGAGCTTCCGGGGGCCTTCGCCACCTGGTCCCCAACCAAGGCTTGGGCCTACGGCCCAAGGCTTTATTTAAAAAAAAATGAATGAAAGGAGTTTCATTCTCCACGAAATCGCGTCGGCCTCCGGCGGCCGTTGGGTGCAGTGAATCCAAGGCTTTAGTGTGCCTTTTAGTCGACATACTGCAACCTAACTGTTAATAAAAATAATTATAAGGTACATATGACATGACAATTTGTAGGCCAACTCATGTGTAGTTAGAACTACAGGATTAAGACTAACCTGCGCGCAAGCACACCTCCCAACGCCTGCATCCTCGCGACTGAAAGAAATATCATTGAAAATAAAAACAATCGAACCATCTTCTTCCCAAAAAATGTCAATCTGTCAACAGAGAAAACAAAACACATGCTTTAATTAAAACATTAAACAAATCATAAAAGTCTTTCGAAAAACAAGAAAAAATACACTTCCACATTAAACATTCAAGTAAAATTTTAATTTTATTTATTCGAATAAAAGCCCCGCTTTGAATATATGGTATAATTTAATTATCGCTTACCAAAATTATATTATTCTTGTGCTGGAATACAAACTATTATTCTTGTGCTGGAATACAAATTTATAGTATGCTGACTACCTTTTTATATAAGAGCTTTTTAAAAATAAACAATAAACCCCAAAAATTATTCAAAATATGTTGGAAAACATTAACAATTTGAATGTTTTTAAACGCTATGTTGTACAGCTGATTGGTTGATAAGTTTGATTGACACTTTGAAAAGGTCAATTATTTTGTTTATTAATAGGTCCATGGTTTAGCTGTCCTTCATCTTATAGTTATTTTGCTTGTTGTGACCGAATAAAATACGTCAACATTAATTATGTTATTATCTAACCTTAATAAACATTTTTTATGGATTATCCATATTTATGAGTACTATGGAATTAAATATTATATCTTAGTTTAAAGATGAATTTGGTACAAATGAATTTTTATATCTACAAAGTGATGTTCTAGGAGGCAAAATTCTGATACCAGCTCTGTTGTAATTGTAATCAGAGTGAGGATGTGTAGGATCTTTCATATCTTATGCAATTTAACGGTCACAGATTTTTCATATATTGATATTATATCAAATGAAGTCATTTTTATATCAATAAGTAGATCAATTTTCAATTGGTCTATCACAGTTATTTACGGGATTTTTAGTTATTAAAAATGTAAACCATAATAACAATAACAACAACAACAATAATAATAATAATAATAATAATAATATAAATAATAATAATATTAATAATAATAATATTATTATTATTATTATTATTATTATTATTATTATTATTATTGATAGTTATTGTTATTGTCGTGATGGAATAGATAATAACTGGATTATTATTATTATTGTTACTCTTATTATTATATTTTGTTCTTCGAAATAATACATATTAATTTTGTTATTATTATTATTACTATTATTAATTATTTATTATTATTATTATTATTATTATTATTATTATTATTATTATTATTATTATATAAAGAAACAATACTGTAGAACTACGACAGAACGGACGAATGACAAGCGAATAAGAGATACGGGTGAAAACCGGACCAATGTGGGTAATATTGTTTCTTTCTTTCTATTTATTTAGGCACACAATACATGTGCCAAGGATTGTCAATAGCGAATATATCACCAAGGTAATTTAACAAAAGGACGCACATCTCCGCTCTCGAACATAGCGCGTGCGTACAGTCCTTTGATCTTTACTGTGGCATCGACAATCCGATACTAGTTGCGAGTACAGCCGTCAATTATTAGTCTATGCGTGCCATTCGTTTTATGGTGTTAGTTTTTATGTTATTAATTTTGGGTACTTCGCAATGTCTGTTACATTTGATTTTTTTTTTACCGCAGCTTGTTAAATGCTTCTATAAACTGGTCAAGAATATTCCTGGAAATTGTAGAATTGAACTGCATAAATGACCAGATTTTAACGAAAGACCACTTTACAGGCAGATAACATCTTATTTTATAACAAGATTCCGGTCGGTGTTTTCTGTCCACGAACATCTGAATTAACTGTAATCTGTCTCTTATACACATCTAGATGTGTATAAGAGACAGAGGGACGCACGTGCGCCTAGAATGTCGATGCCCGAGTTATAACCTTTGATGTCCCGAGATGTGCGTCCTTTTGTTGAATTACCTTGATATCACTGTCCTACTTGTAGGTGACAATCCCTTACACAAGACAAACATAACACACACGATGCTTTAAACAAACTAAATCTCAATATGAGATTTGGGGAGTGCAGTTGTTTTGGTCTTGAGAAAAAATCCTGCAACTGGCAGGAATTGAACCCAGGACCCTAGGATTGGAAGGCGAGCATCTTAACCACCAATTTATTCAATTCCACTCCATTAAATTTAATTTGAGGGTACCCTCCATGAGTGTGAAGTATGCATCTCTGTCAAGTAGCCATGCGATTAAATCACCTTTTTAAAATATAATGTACCGGTAACTGTATACAGCAGGCCATCCAACTTCAATTGTCTATTCATGCCCGCTTATCAACAAAAACTCTACTTTATTTTCCCAAAGTCTACTTGAATGTGCGAACTGAGTGAGATTCTTAGGGAAAAGCCCCTTGTGGGGTGCAAGGCATTAATTTGAGTTTGTGTGTGATTGCTTAGGCTATTTAGCATGGCAATTTGCTGATAAGTTTACGCTTATAAAAACTTTTTAATTTTACAAAAATTAGAGGGGCGTACGCACCTTACGCCCCATCTAAATCCGGATCCGCCACTGAGATGATATAACGATTACAACGACTTTGAATATTTTATTGAAAAGTATTAATTACAATTCTTTTTCTTTATTACATGTATTTATAAAAAAAATATTAATAATATTAATTATAATTATCGTTATCGTGGTCATTATTTTTCTTCCCTTAAATTTTGAAAAGGACTTCACCTAATGATTTTAATAATGGAAGATTCAATGACTATCATAATAATTTGTTTAGCCTTGTGATTGCTTTTATTATACTGTAATTAAGCCAAGTTAGTGTACCGCTTTCTGGTTAGTTCTACCACGGAGGAGCGAATTCCTCCATGGTTCTCCCATTCTACGTTATTCCACGTGACGTCACCATATATGAGTCACAAAGGTCACAAGGGACAGGCCATGAGTGACGTCAGCTTTGACAACATTATTAATCAAGAATAGAGTACAACAAGGGAGGTAGATCTGATTTTTCAAGGATTTTTATTCGCTTTATTTATATACTGTTAGGGGGAATCTGCTGTGTTCAGTACTGAAATTTAGTTCATAGATATGTCTACACCTGCTAGGAGGCGATTACTGAGAGATTTCAAAAGGTTTGTCGTGATTTAAACCGTAATTTCTTTGTTTAGTATTCTGTCTTTTTCGCGATCAGCTTGGCTTAGGCCTAGGCTAGCCTAGGCCTGGCCGACGGAAGCGTAGGCAAACGGTAGTAAGTACGTTCGAGACGGACTACCAATCTTGGGTCATGTCTATTTTTAAATTATATAGCCTTGCCTAAGACTACAGTATGTTAACTCGGAAGTTGAAATGATAATGTATATGTTGAACTTGAATTTGAAGTCTTTTTTTTATTTTTATTGAAGTAGTAGTACTAGGCCTAGGCCTAGTAGTAGGCCCCAAAAGAGGCCTAGCCTAGACCTACTCTACTCATTTTTCTTGTTTGTTTCAGACTTATCAAACATAGCAAAGCCTTAGCTAGGCCTAGCCTAGGCCAATGTGGCTGATGTAATTACAAGTAGTATTACAAATTGTATCGTATAGGTTGCCTAAACTAGCTAGGCCTATGTCAATTATACTGTACCACCAGTAGCTACCATCACAAATCCAAAACTGCGGAAATTCCCAAGTGTTAATGTTATATGTTTTTATTATTTTCTTGTTTTTTATAAGTAAAAACACCACAAGGCACTTTATAAAGCAACTAATAGACTTCAATCGTGATCGCGGACTCATTGAGCCCCAAAAACAAAAAACTTGCTTTTGTTTTTTTTAATTTTATAATTTAGCAAACTTATTTTTGTAAAGATTAGTAGAGAAGGGCAGAGAAAAACAATTGTTTTCTTATTTAGCAACTAGGTTTGCATGCAAACAGATTTTTATGACCAAATATAATGCAACTATGGATATAAATAGACATTTTTATGCAATCAAGTTTACAGTAGTACTTCCATACTGTATAGTATATTAATTGCACGGATGATATCTCAAAATTCAGCTGAAATTTGTGCGGAAAATTTCTAGGAAAATAGGTGCGCGGATTTGTAAATACTGCATAAATAGCATTGTTTATATTAAGGTAGATTAAAGCCTAATTTTGGGCAAAATCTCCATTGAAATTGGCCCTTATTTTCTGAAATGCGCGGACAGATTTCTAGGTGAAATTTTTGCGTGGAGGATACATTCTCCGTGCAGTCTTTACTATACAGTCTGGCAATACTTTACAGTAGTTGTCTTCACAAAAAAAAAATTGGATAAAGGTGTAGTAGTCCAACTTTGCTAATCTACTGTAAATCAACACAATCAATCAATCTTTATTTTCCATCATAATTTAAAAAAAATACAAAACAAAAGATGGAGGAAGTACTATACAACAAAAGCAAGGCCTGACAAAGTGTTGTAACTATCTTAACAAAAAAAAACAACAAAGAAAATAATTTGCAATATACTGTAGGTATCCCCTCCCTCCCCCTCTGAGAGTGTACAAAAAAATGTTTCATGTTTGCTGTTTTCTAAATTTTAAATGTATTTTTTTTTTTTTGGTAATTTTAAAATTAGTCCTGAGAAATTAGGTTTTTGATTAGTGTGTTGATAATTTATATGTCACTAGTAATTTAATTTGAATATTTTTAAAATAATTTTTAATCACCATGTCTGGATCATTTATAAAAACTAAAAATTAACACAATCAAATGTTGATTTTTCCTTTCTTTTAAATTTTCAGATTACAGGACGATCCCCCGGCTGGTGTTAGTGGTGTTCCATCAGAAAACAACATCATGTTATGGAATGCAGTTATATTTGGGTAAGTTCCCCCACCTTTGCCAAAAAAGGGAGGTACAGAGTGTACAGTACCTGGGCAAAGTGGGAAAGAAAGTATCCTGTCCAGTATATTGAGATGCAAACAAATATAATGAGACTAGGCCCTGTTTCTGTTGGCATGATAAAACGGTTATATAACCGTTTTTATTTAACTATTTTTATTTTGTCAACATAAACTGCACCAGATTAAAATAAACAGTTAAAATGGCGTGTAGAAAAACACGCAATCGATTCAGTGTTTGCACAACAAATAAACGTTTATTGTGGTGTACTTTTCAACAGCAACACATTAAATGGTTATTCATCATTGATGTTGTGACCTCAAGTCAAACCTTAGATTCTTTGTTTGTTTTTGATCGCTAATCGCGAAGCGACAATTGTTACTGTACATATGACATTAGTAATACAGCATTGCTGATAATATCTGGAAATATCTTATTTTTCTTTTTTCGCGCACAAAAATCAGACGATAGAAAGGTCATTTACACACTTCCGACCTTCAAAAGCATTATGGGTAATGTGTCGTCATACTCTCCCCGACCACCCAGCGAGATAACTGGTTATTTTATAGCAAAAAATTCAACAACACGATGGACATATGTTTACAAATCAATTTAGCTTGGCCAAAAAAATATCTGGTATCTTTCCAAATTGAACAGAAACAGGCCCTAAAGCCTTGGTGCAGACTATCAAATTTTATTTGTCAAAAACATGTGACATGCCTAAATATGGTCATGATGACATCAAATCATGACCATATATACAGTATACACATGATGACTACTGTATACAGTATATATGGGCATACCAACAGAAACCAAAGAAAATTTGATAGTGTTGGCACTAGTTCTCTTATCTTAATGTGCTTCACATTATCATTACCCCACTTAGCATTGAATTGTATTGGTTAGGATGTCATTTGGAAGGGCAGATTCAGGGATGTGTGGGTTAGGGGGGTTCCGTAAGGGCACCTTGCCCAGGCCCTAACTAAATTTGTGAAAAAAAAAACATGGTAGCGCTGAGGGGGTGTGGGTCCACCAGTGATTTGAACTCAGAGCATGTAAATAACAGTCAATTTGTAACATACATTAACTTGGTTCTAAGGTGTATCCATTAGCAGTTTGGATTTGGGTTATTTCATTCAATTCTAGTTTCAATTCAGAGGTTTGGTGCAGGGGTTTTGCTTCTGCTTTTCACCCTTGACGTTTAATCTATCGCTGTGTATTTCGCTTGTGCCCTTACTGTGGGCAAGACACTTTACCTACGGTTGAGTCTCTCCACCCATGAGTACAAGTAGGTACCCAGTACTAGGTTGAAACACAAAAATGCGCTGATTACAGATGCAGAACTATGGAGTTGTACCCAGTGGCCTGAGTTTGTGTTCCATAATAATGTGCTTGATCCAAAGGTGGTGGGGGAGCGGGAGGGGTGTAATAATGCTAAGCGCATAGAGGTCTCTTATATATAAGTCAACAATTATTATTATTATTAATATATGTTATGGTTGTTGATCTAAAATGTATCAAGATCTGATGCTAATATGTATGTATGTATGAGAGAATTATAATTTTTTTTTATTTCCTTCCTTTTTTGGCTTGTTTTGTTCTGTGCTCTTTTTCTCGTGTGTGTCTTATTTTTGTCTTTTTTTTTTTTGTTCTGTGTTTTTTTTTTCTTGTCTCTTCAAGGCAGCCCTACACAAGCTCCGCTTTCTGGGTTTTCGCATCTTAATCTTGGCTGGTTATTTATCATATTGCATTATCATTTTTGAGAAATAAATGTTCTTTTGAACTTGAACATGTATGGCTGTGAAATCATTGAATTGCATCAAAATGCTAGAAGAAGTTGTCAGAGAAGAACGCAAAAGGTTAAACTGAGACATTGAACAATTCTAGATACTTCTACAGCAGTTGACCTGTGAAGCGAGCTTCTTTATGTTTTTGTTAACAAATATTCATAGCTATTTTTAAGATAATTGAATTGTTTTTGTTAAGGAAACATAACCATTGAAGATGATGTATGTTTTATCAAATCTAATATACAGTATGATAGTTTAAACCCCTAACCATACTGTCAGTTTTTATGTTAAAATATGGTATTAATAATCATTATTAACCAATATTAACAATTCACCCACATACTGTACTATATTTGTCACATAAAACTCAATATATATTTTTCTTTTCGTTATTTTTTTCCTAGTCTTGGTTTTATTTTTTAATAAACGTCTTCTCTTTTCATGCTTTCTACCATTGTAGTAAAGGTGTATTTTTTCACATATAAAATTATTAATATGGTTAATTGCTTCTTTTTTTTTCCAGGCCCCATGATACGCCTTTTGAAAATGGTAAGTTGTAGTTCAGATTGTTGTCCTTTATTGAATCATAGGGCTCAGGATAGGAGTATTTTTTGATGTGAATCAAGAGTTCGAAAACTTGTTTCCAGTGGGGTCCTTCTGGTGGTGAATTAGGCAGTACACCAGAAGACAATCCCCTACACTTTCTGAAAAGTGTACTGCGTTCTTTAACGTGCACATGGGCCATAATGCACACAGGACCAATGGCTTGTAGAAGCGGTTGGCGCATCGGTTGTGGCTTGGACTCCCAACCTTGAGGTCGGGGGTTTGAAACTCTCGCTGTGCAAATCGCTTGTGTCCTTGGGCAAGGCCCTACAGTTGTCTCTCTCCACCCAGGATTACAAGTGGGTACCTGGTAGGTTCCAACACAACTGCGCTGATTACTAGCTGCAATATTATGGAATTCTCCCCAGGGAGCTGAGTATGTGTTCCACACGTGTTTGATCCAATGGCCGGGGTAGTAATGTGTTCAAGCGCTTAGAGGCTTTATGCATGAAGCGCTATATAAGACCGACAGTATTGTTATTGAACATCTCATCCGAAAGACGGTGCGCTATCGTGACTTGCGTTTCAGCCCTTCAGCTGAAACACAAGTGGCTACTACACACAGTGGCTACTACCAGTATTATACTGTAGCCGACTGAGCTAAGCCGTTTTAACTCATCTACAGTAAACCGGTTGTAGCCACTGTTAGTGTGCTAATTCCTCTTTTTCAGTTTCATGTATGCTCTCCTTGTATTTCAGCCAGAGGCCTGAAATATAATCCGTTATAGCATACAATCTTGCACGTGACCATGTTGCTGTTGGTCTTGCGTGGATCAATTTTCTGCTAATAAATGTTCAATTATGAATTGTACACTTAATGCTCTGTTTAAAGGAAAGACGAGTAGGGAATTTTTTTTCTGTTTGTACATAATTATACAAACCAAAAGATGAAGATGATGTTTATTCTGGTGGTGTGTATGTGTTTGTTTTACTGATTAAAGTGATGTCCACACTATAAAGTGACAAATAAATTTGATATGCCCATATGTGGGCGTACTATGACGATCATCATGCCCATATATGGGCACATCACACAAATTTGTCACATGAAATTTGATAGTTTGGACAGGGCTTTATGAAACAAAAGTCACTCTCATTTACATATTTCTGATAGTATAGGATGAGCCAGCATACTAATTGTCATTGTTGTAGTGACATTTATGGTTGTGACATTTTCTTACAGGTACATTCAAGTTAACTATAGAATTCACAGAAGAATATCCAAACAAACCTCCAATAGTTAGATTTGTATCCAAAATGTTTCATCCAAATGGTACGTAAATATTGCAACCTACATTATTCGGGGATATTTGTAAAGTCAGGCACTCGTTGCGCCATCATACGACGGTCGAATGACCGGCAGCTGATGAATCCAACTACGCTCCTTGTGAACATTTAAATGATGTGACGCCATCTGCTGATTGTCGGTGGCAGTCTTTATCATCATTAGAAATGATCTGTTGCCGGCGTACCGTGGCGTTGCGTTTCCTATAGAATCGCATCGGTCGACGACCGTCAGACACACTGAGTGCCCGGTTTAACAAAATAAATTTGCCATCTTGTTGTTTAAAGTGTGCATGCATTTTGAAGATGAAGTCATAACAGAGCAACATGTATTTCCATTATTCACATTTGTTTTAATCAAATGCTGCCTGGATGAACAAAAACATTTCGTCAATCGTATGCCATGAGTGTGTAAAATAACCTTTGAACTGTAATGTACTCAATGTAACTCGGTCTCTGTTGGTATTTGTGATTTTTTTTTAATGAGTGAATTGAATAAATAATTTTAATTCTTTCTGCAAACATACAAAAAGCAAACTCTGAGATTGCGCATAACAAATAATTAGTACAGTTGTGTAAGTTCAATGGTACAGTATTTGTGTTCAATTTTATGTCTTATTTTTTCTGCAATTATTTTTAATATCTAGTTTACAACTTATTTAAATATAATATACCAAACCTGGTCTTAATAGTATCAAAGCAGTTCCAGTCATTTATATTGTAAACAGGCACAAAAATGTATTATATGTCAACTACCAAAAAAATATAGAGTAGGCACATAGACAAATTCACAATACAAAGCTAGTAATTTGTGTTGTGTTTTTTTTGACAATCAATTGATTGTGTACTTGGCAATCATTCTTAAACATTGTAACTCCTCAGTTGTGTGGACTAAAAAGCTGTAAATTATATAATAATAATAATAATAATAATAATAATAATGTAATAATACAGTTATTAAACTGACTGTACAGGGGCATTGAGGCTGATACAGTAAACTTGTTGACTAACTTCCATGGTAAAATTGCAATAGTAATAATGCTAACTTTATTATAATATTGCATGTAACTACCCAATAAACTGCAAAGGTCAAAATGGTTTTAGTGGAAACTGCTTACAATATTTTAGGGAATTCCCCAATCCAAATGTTTTGTTGTATGTAAAGTGTTTTGTTGTATGTAAAAAACTGCTTTTACATTGTTGTTAAAGACATGAAATCTCACTCATAATTCCTTTTGTGTCAAAATCTATTCTTGTTTAAATTTAAATGTTTCAAGAAATACTGTATGTAATATAATACAGATAAACATTTATTCTCAATGGACATCCAAAAAAATGAACATACAGTATTTACTCTTACGTTTGTTACTTCCTCCTATTCTGTTAGTGACTGTTCAGCTCCAACTCCATCAACTCTAGTCATCCAATATGCAATTAACGAGCATTTCCGTGGTTGTGTTATGCCACAGGGGGGCAAAGTGTAGCCCGCGGGCCACATGTGGCCCTACAGTGATTTTATTGCGGCCTTTTTATCATTAATTTTATCCTCCATGCAACCAATTTTTACCCATTTTATACCCCTTAACAATTTTGTTTTATAACTATATTTACTGTATATATTATAGACGTATTCTTACTAAGTTGCGTTTAGGAGTCCTTGAATTAGAAATTGAAACTGGTAGATGGTCAAAAATTGATAAAAAAGATAGATTATGCAAACATTGTACATTAAATTTAGTTGAAGATGAGTACCATTTTAATTTAATTTGCCCTTGTTACACTGATATTCTTAAACATTATATATTCAAGTATTTTATTGTTAATCCATCCAAAGTTAAGTTTACTCAATTAATGTCCACTACTGATATCAATACAATAAGTTGTTTATGTAAATTTCTTTATCACTCATTTAAACGTAGAAGTGATTGTTCCCTCTGTAAATAGCTATTATATTTTATTTGGGCCAAAGGCCTTATATAAAAGTTGAAATAAATGTCCTTGGCCAATACGTGCCAAGGAACGGAAACGTATAGCAACTTTACAGCAGTAGGCCTACAATTTTCATACCATATATCAGATTTTGTTTATGTGGATCAAAATATACTCTGTACAGTGTTATAAATATTTCTTTTTGTGGAGAGGGACAATGCATACCGTAAAACCTCATGTAGAAGCCCTGTGGGCTTAATCTTAAAATGAATCCCAACTCAAAAAGAAGCCTTCGGAAAAGAGTATGGTTTGTCTGCCAGTGTACACTGCCCAAAAGACTTGTTCACACACACAAGATAAATCCAATGCAATCCAAACTGATTGGGTGAGATACAGTAATAATGGACCTTTTGGGATTCTCAGTCAAACTTTAAACAACTGATCAATCAAAACAGCACCAGGAATACTTGTGTGTTGTCTCACAAACACGCGTGTTGTCTCGCAATATGCACGTGTTTGCGTCTGTTTTTACGTTGTCGTTTTGTAGGACCTTAGCAGCGGTTGGCGCAATGATTGTGACTCGGACTCCAAACCTTGAGGTCGGGGGTTCAAAACCCTCGCTACGCAAGTTGCTTGTGTCCTTAGACAAGACACTTTATGTTTGTCTCTCTCCACCCAGTAGTATAAATGGGTACAGGCATATGCTCGGAATGTAAAACAGACTGCTGTGTGGGAGGAGTGACGAACCCCCCACAGCCTGGCAGTCTGGCCAAAACGCCAGCCTTGTTCTCCGGCCTGTGAACCCAGAGTTTCAAGTTTTTGACCTCCACTTTTACTAAAGTTCAACAGAATCCAAGAGGCAGGGCCTAGGCGACAGTCAATTAAATGTTAATTTCATTTTATTTTTTTTTGCAGTTTATGCAGATGGTGGGATATGTTTAGATATTTTGCAGAATAGATGGAGTCCTACATATGATGTGTCAGCTATACTTACATCAATACAAGTAATTAACTTTTTATATATTGTTCATCATTCTGTGTTTACTTTTTTTATGTGCATGTATGTGTACAGTACATTGTGGTGTGTAATGTAAATGGGATACTGTATGCTTACTATACATGTTCTGTAAGATAGTTAATACTATATAACTACACACATTCTAAGGTAGTAATTCTGTACTGTGGTTCTCGTATGATACTACCCGACAATCTCCCCTCCCCCTCCTTCAAGGTACAGTATGTGGTTGTGATTAATTACAGTTTAATTATTAGGGAGGGGGGGGGGTGGTGAATGAGGTGGCAGTTTAATCGTGGTACAGTTGCATATCAAGTGACAATTATTACATGTAAAGTCAGTTGTAACACCTACTGTCATAATCATACGTTACACATTATTAGTCATTATCCTTTACACGTGCTGTATAGTAATACTGTATTTCGTTTGGCAGTTCTTGGCCAATGTGCCAACCAAATCTAATATGAAATTAAAGCAGAGGGCCTAAAATAATATTTTTAAACCAAACCGAATAGACTTGGTAAAGCAAAGATTGAATATTTCTTAATCACTGTCCACACCAGCAAATTATGCCCATCATTGTGGACCTATATATGGTCATTATGTGCCTATATATAGTCATGATGTGGCTATATATGGTCATGATGTGCCTATATATGGTCATGATGTGCCTATATATGGTCATGATGTGCCTATATATGGTCATGATGTGCCTATATATGGTCATGATGTGCCTATATATGAGGCATGTTGTGGCAAAATGGCCAAGTTGTAGCAAAATTTGAAATTCAAGTTATTGGTATTTTCATATACCTGAGTATGTTATCTTTAAAATGAGTGGTCATTCATTGAAATTGGACTTTTCAAGCCTAAGTTATTGGAAAGTGAAAATACGGCACTCTTAGAGTCAAGATAAACATGACTGAGTAATTGCCTTCCAAAGTTATTTGTGCATACATTGTTTAATAGAATTAACTATCTAAATAACATTAAATAAACAATTTGTTGATCACTTCCAGAACTAATACTTTGGGACATGATTAATAAGACATTAAACTGTTGATCTATAGTGAAAATTTTTTTTGGATTTTTAGGCAATTTTTTGAGCTCCCATATTTTATAGCTCATTTACTCAATACTGGCCTGTGCGACAACTTAACCATTTTGCCACGACATGCCTCATATGGTCATGATGTGCCTATATATGGTCATGATGTGCCTATATATGGTCATAATGTGATGTCATGACCATATTTAGGCATGTCACATGTTTTCGTCAAGTAAAATTTGATAGTCGGGATATTTTTCATGATCAAGAGTTACATCTAAAATCAAGTAATCATACTAATTATTATATTAAGTTACTAATGCTCATTGCATATTTCTGTTTGCAGTCTTTACTCGATGAACCAAACCCCAACAGTCCGGCAAATAGTCTGGCCGCTCAGTTGTATCAGGAAAACCGACGAGAGTACGAGAAAAAAGTCATAGGCATTGTGGAGACTAGCTGGCAGGACATTTGAGTGCCAGTTTCGTGTACCCATGACGATAAATTGTAGAGAGAGTGAGGGCGCAATTCACCAATAGCAGTTTGTTTCATTGCGATAGAACGAGAAATTTTGCTAATGTGCGAAAAAAATAAAGAGGTGTTTTGACTGCGAGATGTGTTTGGAACAGCTCTTTTATATTGTTATGTAGAAAGATCAATGAAATAAAGTATATAGATTATTCCTCCATTGTTGTGATTCGAAATAACTTGTAGAACTTCAGACTAATAGTACTGTACCTCCATATTTCTTCTGGCGTCTGTATTTTTTGCGACAGTTGGAGAAATTTTGCAACGAGTCTGATTTCAAAGTATGTGCCAGAAAATGAATTATTTCCTTTGACGGATAAAGACAAGAACCACTCATTTTGACATAAGTTTTTCATTTTTACTGATCATATTTAAAAACTATTTAGGCATTAAATCTTAATTTTGAGTACATTGTATTACAGTTTAATATTAATAATAATAGTTATTATTACTTTTATTATTAATATCATTATTAATATTATTATAATTTATTATATTGTAAATGTTTGTCTTTTTTTTTGCTTATGGATTAATAGAATAAATTTTGTTGATTTACAACCAAACATCATTTGTGTTTGGTTATAAATTGAAGAATTTATTGTATTGTTAACATAACTATGAATATTATAAATCATTGTGTGATATCTGTATCCATGTATCGACAAGTGGTGTAGGGTGCGATCAGGCTACAAATGGGGCAAACCTATCATCATTGAGTTTTAGCTACTGTAAGAGTATTTTTTTTATAGATTTCCATGTATTTTGAATTTATGATGTGACTAAACCATTGTTGTAATTTTTGGGCAAACTGTCCAATCAGATGATCTAGAGTCAGGATGTTATGATGACAAGACATCATCTTGCATTGCGTTTTATCCAGGCTACCAAAGTCTTATGAATAAGTGTTTAAAATGCAATGCGCTGAGCGATACCAGTAGATACCGTCGAGTAATTTAATCCTCCAACTCTGGCATAACACGCACTTAAAATATGCTAATCAGGACGGATTAAAAATTTGGTAGTCATATTACATGTTTGACATTCTGAAATCAATATAATGTGGTGTGATGATAAAACAAGAAGTTATAAAAAAATATTTAATAACTAAACCATACATTTGACCCATGGATTTGACCTCTGGTATTAGATACAGGGGATAAAAACGTGATTTTCCATCAGTATAACATGACATGCGTTAAGGTGTTTACACGTGTGAGTGGCTTGTTTATTTAAACTTACGGTAGTGATGAGAAGAGTTAATGGTGTGTGTCCTTGTCGGTATCGGTAGTTTACGATACACATAGCAACTGGTTGGTTGGAACCTCTGCATTTCACATTGCTTGGGGAGAACAGTTTTTTTTTGTGTATAATACAGCTATTACTATCTGTACATGAATTAAAAACCTATGTAGCAGCAAAGATTTGTGTTTTGTGCTTTAATTCAAAAAGATAAAATATTGTCCGTAGTGTAGCCTGTGGACTTCCAACCTTGAGGTCAAGGGTTCAAAAAACGCCCTGTGCAAGTCGCTTGTGTCCTTGCACAAGGCACTTTATCTACGTTTGTCTCGGGCGGCACTAGCAGGGGATGCAGGGGGAAAAGGACCAACGTCGGGGCCTCTGCACCCTTGCTTGGACCCCGTATCAGGGAATTTCCAGCAAGGTCGTTGGGGAAAAATCAAATCTTGAGTGCTGAAAGTACATTTCAAGCATGCGTTTACTAAGATGTCAAATTTTAGGGATTTAAAACTGTTTATTGCGAGCAGTGCTAGCGTATGTTCGAGGTGTTGTATACTATTGCGATCATATTGGTTGCAGTGGTGGCGCCAGCTCTTCCCTGGGAGGGGGACACTTAATAGGCATGATTTTCTTTCAAATTATCATATTTTAATAAAGAATCCCATAATTAACACAAAATGTTGTTATTTTTTAATGAAAAAATTAACCGACAAATTTAAATTTTCCCTGACCAGGGGTGTGCCAGGCTTTCCCGAGGGGGGTGTGGACCTCCTTGTCGAGGAACTTTAACCCCTCTGCAAATTCCTAGCGCCACCACTGGTTTGTCTATCTCTACTCAAGAGTACAAATGGGTACTTTGTAAGGTGTTGTGGCATTGAATGTACTAGTTTTTATGCACCAAGTACACACGCATGAATAGGTACAGTCCTCTCAGAGAAGGTTGCACTTTGCGCTGGTTTGGAATTGTATGTTATCCAGTGACCAGTTGTAGCAACGCTCAGCCCCTTTGATCATTGATTTGGAATTGACACTATATAAATCTTTGGCATTACAGTATTATAATGTAGAACCCTAAGGAGAGACTTTTTCTAAACCTATATTGTTTTCGCAAACTTATTTTTTTAAAGATCGAGGGCAGGTTAAAAAAAAAATTAAATTTTATAATTTTATAATAATAATAATAATAATAATTAGGAAGAAATATACATATCTTATTTTTGGAGATATCAAGGTTGTGGTGCTCGGTGTGCTAATTGGCCTAAAAATATAATTTTTTTTTTTTTAGAAATCAGCTAAACAAGGTATAAAAAAAATCCCCCCCTAAAAACCTACTGAAATATTTTACTGTAATCTTTTGCAACAAAATAACCTTGAATATGCTGGATTAGCATATGCCATCACTTTTGTTTGTGTTGATTAGATTTCAATTATGTACAGTGTAAACCATCATACAAGCTTGGCCCTCCTCGTTTGACTAAAAATATTTTACCAAATACAAAACAGAGTTATTGTGATTGTAGTCTCTAAAAGCAAAAATTTTGGGCATCCCAAAACGATCCCTGATTGAAGCTCTAAGCAGCCTCTTGGTTTCGGACCCGCCTAGACTGGGTGCCAGTCCCTAAACTTTGTCTTAATCAGTAAAAAAGAAAAATCGATTTTGGCACCAATGGCGTTCCATACCTATTTGCGTGGTGTTTCATAGTATAATTTTTTCTTGGATTAATTCGCATCAAAAAAGTTTCTTGACAAACTGACGCTGGTGGCGCTTTCCGAAATGTGGTAATACTACGAAAAATCAATAAATTAGAGGCTTGTGGCAAGTCTAGGACCTGCCTTGTCATCTTCATGTGGCAGATTTCTGGTCCCACCTCTAATCTTGGTCAGAAAAAGTAGACTTCACCGAATATTAATTGTCTCTCAGACTTTCATAATAATCGGCAGACGGTGTTACTTTGTTCAGCACTCACAAAGATTGGATTTCGATGGCTGACAGTAATTTCCACTTATATGTACTATGATATTCTTGGTCCATGAGCTTAGATATAAAAATCAAATCAAAATTAAATAATTACATACTTAATCAAGAATATATTTATTATTTAATAATGTATATTACATATCCTGATGATCCTGTAACCAGTGCAATTATATTTTTTAAAAGTTTTTTCTCCTGTTTTATAACATTTTGTACATATATCAACTTGATGTCAACAATATTACCTCATTATTTATAATAATGTCTAGTAAATTGTGATAGATTCAGTGGTGAAATAAATTAACCCGAGGCCCCTGGCTAGGCCTCTTTGGACCCTACTACCTTCGGGCCACATAGGGCCAACTGGGTTATGGTTAAGCCCCCATCCACTCTGGCGTTTTTGTTTCAAGGGCATATTTAATGGGGGTTTGTTTACTCGTTCTGATCACTTGGCTGATTGATGTGCATGGTTCATGGAAAAAATAGCTATTTAGCCAGTGAGAACCAGTGAGAAATTATAGATGTTTAATTCCACATGGTAGGTTTATATAACCTTCGGCCTCTGAGGCAAACACAGGTTGTAAAATACATTCTGATCCCAGAAATCCGGTCCTTTCCAGCCACACCAACCCTGGAAGGAAGAAATAAACATAGGTAAATTCAAATTGTATTTCAGTGCATAAATAAGCAGAAAATATTAAAAGAAATAAACCAGTTTAATAAAAGTTGACAATAAATGAAAAGGCACAATTTTTAAACTTAGTCAACAGCCACATTGGCTCATAAAATTGCAGTTTTAAAAATATTGAACTTGATTCTCTTAAGGGGAAGATTTTACATAGCATTCCAATCCTAGTGCCCTGGGTTCAAGTCATGTCAAGTGAGAGCAGTGGCGGTTCCAGCGTCTATAATCTGGGGTGGGAGGGGAAGGGAGGGGGAAGGTAGAGTCTACATGCTGCAATTTTCACTTGACTCTAGACCATATGTTTGCTGCATCATAAAGGCAATACAAGAAATGTGTCCTAGCAGTGTTATTAAGATAAGGGAAAAATCAACACATTGCTGGTATTCATGAGAAGCAACTGACCTGCATCAACTTCATTAAAGCGAATGATAATGATGGGTTGGGGGGGGGGGAGGGGAAAGAAGCAAGAAAACTATCTGGGAGGACAATCCTCTTGCCCCATAGTGCCACCACTGAATGATAGGATTTTTATGACCGAATACACTACACTATCAAAGTTTATGTCACAAAAAAATGTGTTGCCCCATACTTGGGTGTAATATGACATAATCATAACCATATATGGGCACATGAAACAAATAGTGTAGACAGCTTAAGGTAGTTCCATGTATCAAATATGGCAGTGATTGATATCACTAATTGGAAACCCTTGGCACATGTGCATAAATGAACAAAAACAAAATAAAGCAACTTGCCTTATCCTGTATCACCTTAATGTCTTCAGAGCCAGTGTAGTGTGGGTCCAAGATAAGGAACCTAATCTCCCCAGACTTCTCATTGAAGTCAACACCTAGAATAGTATGTGCTAACACACCACCACCTGTAAAGAAACACCAGCCACTCAAAAACCTAGAAGGATAATTGAGGAAGGGGAAACTTCTTAGGACTCTGGATAGGGCTGTTTTCTTTGCAGTTTTGGGGGTGGCAAGCATAATGCACTTGGCAGAAGCTATTGCTACACTGCACTAGCTGGTAAGATGTCTGCATTTGTGACATAACTGCCTTGAAGGCATCTTGGATATTGTACCATTACAGTAATAAACACCAATATACCATAGTTATATATATGTTTCGTTTGTTTGAAGTTTAAGACAACTGAGTAGGCCACATGAGAGGAAGAGGAGTTGGGTGGTGGAAAAACTTGGTACATTTTAGACTAGGGTATTCATCCCTTAGGTATAATCTCTCTTTAATGAGAATTAATGAAACTTACGGTGGGAGTACCTACCTATCATTATGGGTGTTCCTTGTATCTCAAAATGCTGAGCTAACTCTCGGCCTTTGTTTGCCATTTCAGAGCCCGTATTGACAAACATTATCTTTGAGGTTACCTGGCAACATTGAAGAAAGATAGAATGGATTACAATATTCTTCTAATATGGTTCTATTAGCAGGGTGCTATACTTTAAATTTTAGGATGATCAGTTCAATTCCATTGTCTATCATACTTCTTGCAACCTTGCACATGACTCTTGTCTTTCTTCAGTCCATCGTTTGAAATAAAATTTGTTGAACTTAAAAGATATAAAATGTACAGCTTTGTGGGAAGTTGACTCCACAAGAAGTGGAAGAGGTTTTACGTTTTGCATACTGTATTTACTTATTGAATGCTATTATGCATTCAGTTATATGCAGCTTAGACAATAAACCTACAGGACTGTGATCATCTTGTGATTTGTCAATTAGTCCCGGAGTATAATAGGACACCTGGTTGATCAGTGAGTGTCTACAGTTTGAATCCCACACAGTGATTGCCTTGTCATAGTTACTTTATTTTACATTTGTCTACATACACCAATGAGTATGAATAGGTGCATGGTAAATCAGTGATAGTTACAATTTCCACAGACTTGAGTGACAATGGGAAGCACAACATAAAATGAAAATTGTATAATTATAAGCCAAAAAAATCATGGTGCTGCCCAAGCAGAGTAACATCATTATAATCATGACATTTGAGGTCAGGGTTCAAAGCCTTCGCTGTGCAAGTCACCAATGTCCCTGGACAAATTACTTTACCTATGTTTGCCTCTCTCCACCCAGGAGTATAAGTGGGTACCCAGTAGGATCTAACATCAAGAGCTAACTTTAGCTGCTTTTGGAAGTGTGCTTCCCAGGGAGCTAAAAATGTGTTCCATAGGTGTGTGATCTAGTGACCGGGGATAATAATTTACAGCGCACAGAAGAAGAATATAATCATTATTAATAGAAAAATAGCATAATAACTTACCTCGAGAAGTTGGTTCAGAACAGTACACACCTCAATAGATCCAATCCATTTCTTAGAGCCGACAAAATTAGCATCTTTATCTCCGACATCAACCAGCGTCTGCTGGATGACTCTGTGGCTCGGCACCGGTACGTCTGTGTAGCCCTGGTGTCGAAACCAAGACACAATGGTTTGCAGGGACCGGTATGCGCAACCCCACTTATCGTCGTTGAATTTATCCTGCATGTAGTGATGGTATGAGTATGTTCCGTGAACAAGGTAAACTTTGCTGCCATCAGCTGGGAGTTAATAAAAAAAAATATTTTGGGCTGTCTTTATTTTAGAATTATTTAATTTTTGAGGTACCAGAAGGAATGCATTAAGTTAGAAGAATCCTACAAGCCTCCTGATACTTGCTGAGTCAGTTTAATATAGAAGAGGATTGAATAGTCATATAGTGTAATCGAATAGCTTGTGGTTAAGATGTAGGCCTTCCTATCCCAGGGTCCAGGGTTCACTTTCTGTCATGATAACAGGAATTTTTTCTCAAGACCAACTTCACTCCTAAGAGCCCATTCACACTTAATAGTTGCGTAGGCTCAGTGCTGCCTCAGGGTCAGCCAAGTATGAACAATCGATAAATTTTAAGCCGACCTAAATTTAGTCTGACTGTCAAGTCAACACATGACCTGGGCCGATTCATCTTCATATCTGAACGTAAACTGAACTTGGGTCGGCAAGGTCGCTATGATAGCTGTCAATTTTGACATCTTAGACTATTACATTTCACACAAAAACCAGACGCAAAAGAGTGTAAACATTCACAGTACAACCCCAAGTTGACATATGATACTAACCACGAATGGAACAGTTGTTCCGAGTTGGCCATAGTTAGGGTGACCCTGGGCTGATATTTTACGGGATATGCCACTTAGAAAAGTGATTAAATTTGCTTTTTGGCATATCCTTGGCCTTCATCATAAACTAATAAATAAATAATGAAAATAAAAACTTACATCCATCATTTTTCAGACCAATATGTGTATTTTCCAGATAAACATTGCCCTTCTTATCAGCTGGGAAACGGTAGGCATTGCACCTTCTGAGTAATGGCCTATCCTGAGGGAGTAACAGCAATTCATGTAACTGACTCCTCTTTGATTCTAAAAATGGGAGTGATAAAAAAATATTAAATAGAATTTCTCATTATACCTTTTTTAATATGCTATTTAACTTGATCATGTCACGATAAAAGGCGTAAAAACAACAAACAATAAACATACCTAACTCCTCATCAGTTTTGCCGTCTGGATACAGAATTGTTATAAACGGGTCACACCCCAGTGGTTTAAAGTGGTACGGTCTGGCCAAACAAATTTCATTTGCTGAGTATTTTTGCATACACATTGTCATAGCAGTAAGTTGTCTACATATGCAAGTGATGAAAAGACCAGCAAGCCGGCAAGCTGGCGTTGAGCCTGGAGTCTGAACGATGGCGTTAACTGGCAGATGGAAACTAACTTCTTGTGATAATCCTACAATAACAGAAGTAGAAAGATGAATAAAGAGATAGGTACAGTGTAAGGAAAGAAAAAGTTAGATCAATAGGTAAAAAATATCTACCTATTTATATAAACCATCAAAGAAAGATAAATACCGTGTTCGAATATTAAGGACATGATACTACATTGTATAGTAAACGAATGTTGTTCTATAAATAAAGAAAATGTGTATTACAATTCCTCTAACAGGATTCGAACCTGCGACCTCTCGCTCTCAAGGCAAGCATCATAAAAATTAGACCACAGATCAGATTACAAAAAACGTCAGATACACTCTATTACACATTAGGCATGGCTGCTGGAAACAAATAATATAATAATAATGCTTTCATTTATTATTTATTTATTTTAATAAATAAAATACGTACCAGACTTGTAGTATGCAACTGGTGCTTCAGCTTTCTGAGGTGACTGTGTGATTTGTAACATCAATGAAACATCAACCACCTACAAAATTTAAAAAAATGTACAATTGGAATTCAAAACCATTCCTAAGCCTTTATACTGAGTTTTAAAAAAGCGCAAATGTTTTCATAGACATGACAACAAATTCTGGTGCTTATAGCATTTGAAGACATGATACTGGAATTTGAAAGAACACATCATAACCACCAACATACAGCTTAAATTAATAGCACTACCTGTTCACCAGAGGTTTTCTTCTTACTCTTTTTTCCTTTCATCCTGCTAAAACTATCCTCCACTTTCTCTTCAATGTGGTCCAAGATGTTTGTTGCTACGTCGTTGGGCTCCAGTGAAGTGTGAAGTGATTCAAGCTGTTCATCCGCCATAAGTATTTCGCTGTTGTTAATCTGAAAGACTGCTCTGTCTGACTGAATGTCCTGCTTCAAAAGTGCGATATGTGAAATAGCTGTGCTAAGTAAATCTATAATAAAAAGAAGAAAAAACAGCTCATTTAATTGAATTTTTAATCGATTGCAAAGATCTTAATACTACGTTCACATTATGTTGGTGTGGTTTCTGTACTAATTTCTTTTAACTTTTTCATACCACTTTTTTCAGATGTTTAGTATTTTGGTCTATTTCATTCTCTTTAGTGTAAAGACTGTAAGTCTAAATATTTTCTAGCTATACTTTTAGCTTTATTATTGTTAATAATAATATTTAATAATTAAATAAACTAATATATTAAAGCATAGCTAACTGTTCTGTTACTCTTCTTGAGGTTCAGCAGAGGAGCTTAAATTTGAAATATAACATGTGTCATTTTAGCTTTGAGTGATTTTCTAAATAAACTTTATTTCTATGAAAATTATGAAATGATGTGTGTAAATGATTAGTCACAAGAAACCTTGAAGAAATGGATCTTTCCGGGGTGTCAATCAAACCAAACAACTGACCAATCAGAACAGGGCATTGTGGGACCTTAGCAACAATATCCAAGGGGTGGGCATAGTTGAAAGGTCCATTAGGGGATACACATTTCATCCCACTGTACCTGCTTTCTCATTGGTTGTAAACTTTACGGGTAAGTCCGCAGTTATCCTGAATGTCAACAAATCAACAGGAGACGATTCAGCGTTCACCTGCGCTAACGTAACATCATGTTGCTCCAAGTTGTAGAGGAACACATTCTCCTTGGGAATAATTGAACCGACATTCTCTGACACACAACAGACGACAAGGTATTCTGTGTTACACAGTGACTAGAAAAGAGTATAAATGCGTATTAGCTGTATGTACACATTTCTGAATTATTAAAATGATTATGTTTAATGTTTATACTTTACACTTACTGTACCTCAAATTCTTTAGAAACATTTTTGTGGCAAAACTGTTTAATCAGATTAATGTCAGCATCTTCTTGAGTTTGAAACAAGACTCCAACAACGCTTATTCCTAGAATGTACATGAATAAAATTTAGTACAGTACTTTTTAAACTAATAATAATGGTAGACTTAATATATAGCACATTATGATAAGCCCTCTATGCACATCACATTATCACTGCCCCGGTCATTGGATTAAAATATGGTTCTCAAACTCAGCTCACCCTGGGCGTGAATTTTATAATGTTGCAGCAGCTAATCAGCACATTTTGGCACTTAACCCTACCAGGTACCCAATTAAACTCCTGGGTAGAAAGAAGCAATGCAGATAAAGTGCCTTGCTCAAGGACACAAGTGAAATGCACAGCAAGAGATTGAAACCCTGACATAAAAGTTGGAAAACCAAACTGTTAAGGCAGTGCCAAACCACTAACTAAATAACAATATAAGAAATTAATTCTGGGATTTAGACATTTGATATAGATGTTGATTTTTTTCTTTCTTTTTTTTTTTGGGACGGGGAATAGTTGGAGAGTTGTAAGACAATTTATGATGGGCAGGGGGGAGGTGGTGGCACATAATATATTAATACACTAAGCAAACATTATCATATAGGTAATAAAAGATATAGGCGTACGCCGTAGGGCTAAATTTCAACAGTTTAACAAGTGCACTGGGTTCACCGCCAGGTCATATTAAGCAAAGACTTGCCTCCGGGTAGTAGTTCGATAGTTTCTGAAAACTTCAAATCCAAGCTGTCACTTGACCCACAGGAGCTGCAAGACAATATTGTGATGACCTTTTTAGAGTAATTTCCAAGAAGAAAACCAATTTGCCCATTTTCTGGTTGATAACAGTTTAATCTCTGAAATGTAAAATATAGAATGAATTACTTAATAATCCACGGGTATTTTAAAATGTTTTATTGAATTGTAGATTCTATATATAGACTATAGCTAGGCCTAGAGAATCAGTTACCTGTCTCTCTGTAAACAAAACTGCCACTTGACAAACCAGACAAGTGGATCATTCCTGCCCTCCTAGCCTAGGCCCTTCTACTTAGTTAGGGTAGGTATAGCCTAGGCCTAGTAGTAGTAAGATTAGTAACCTCCGCATACATAGGGCATATGCCATCATGGAGGTACCGCCTGGCCAAACATTACATATACATTTCAGGAGCCGGGTAGGCCGTCATCACAATAGGGATAGGCCTCTCTAGCTAGGCCTACCTAATAATTAATACCTAGCCTACCTATCCTATACCAGTACCAGCCCATATGTCTTTAGATTTGGAGCTTACCATGCAATTAATAAAAAGGCTAGGCCTTCTAATAATATCAAGAACATATACTAAAGCATAGAACGTAATCTATAAAGAACGAGAATACCAAGAAAAACAGATCACCGTAAAAATATTTTGTTCGTTTATAACAATACAGGGCGCAGCCATCTTGATTGCACAACAGGCGCCCTCTCTCGCCGCGATTGTTCCAAATTACAAACTATAGATGGCAGCAGACAGCACATGTGTTATGATGGCTAGGCTGGTGTTGTGCCAAAGTATAAATTAAAAGACTATTCTCCTGTCTGTAGGTTTGGATAGGGCTAGGCCTAGGTAGGTTAACAATACTAGACAACATGCTTCATACCTGTTTTTATTGAACGGTGAGGCAATGACAATTGAAAATGGGAAAAGCTGGTCGAGATGATAGACTGACTGACTTCCAGAACTTTTCATGTGGTGCAGTTGCTGGGATAGTTAGCAGGACGGCTGTTTCTCCACTTGATGTCATTAAGATCCTGACACAGGTTGGAACAACGGACACCAGACAAGGTTTTCTCAATTCGTTTGCTAATGTTTACAAAAACCAAGGCCTAAGGGCTTTCTGGAAAGGTAATCTAATAGGGTGTCTAAGGCTCTCTCCATTCAGTGCAATTCAGTTTTCTTCATATTACAAATTCAAACATTTGTTAGCGGATCAAAATGGTAAGTTGGCACCGCACAGTTCAATGGCAGCGGGAACTCTGGGAGGAGTTGTTGCCACGGTGGTCACGTATCCAGCAGACATGGTTAAAACAAGACTTATTGTGCAGCATACGCACCCAAGAAAGGCAAGATACCGTGGCATAGTTCATGCATTTTCGCTCATTGTCAAGGAAGAAGGAGTGTTGGCGTTGTACAAGGGAATGCTTGTTTCGATTTGCGGTAAGTCACAGAAAGATAGCACGACTTTACTTTTGTATTCAGGACAAGACAAATGGGGTCCTGATGCTGTGAGGGGGGGGGGGGGGGGGGGGTGTGCGCAAAGGTGATATACTAGCTCAATGATTAGGTGAGGGAGCATGCTACTCGCAAAATACAGTGATTTTTAACTACAGTGCTTGTGAGATATTTTTGGGTAGAGCGACTGGAGAACACAATTATTTTTTGTGGGAGCGTGCATCCCCTGCGTACCTTCTTAGATACGCCACTGGATGTACTGTATCATTGCGCTGTATAATAATGATAATATTTAATAAGCTACAATTTGATATCCCGGGACTAAATCTGCAACAATCGGGGCGCTATCTTTAGGGTAGTAAAGACAATTGAGAGGGCCTGATAATTTTCTGTGAGCTAGGCAGATAGTGAGCCTGCATGAGGCCAAGGTCAGAGTCCAGTACCAAACCCTTCTTCCACTGAGAGAAACTAGACCATTTAAAGTGCAGTTGAAAACTGTTCTCATAAAATTTGGATCCCCAATTTTATATAACCCCCTTTTTTGTCCGAAAAAATCATGGTCCTCATGGGGCTTAACCCTCTTGGAAATTAAATAAAACAAAAGTGAAAAACATTTTATACTGCAATTTTGTGCAATTATATTGATAAGCCAGATAATATGATTAACAGCATCATTTTTTTCTCTTTTCAAGGTGCCCTTCCATTCACTGCTTGTACCTTCGTAACATATGAGTTTCTGGATCAATTTAGTGACAAGCCGCGGTACATGTTGACACCGATGCAGAACTTTTTAAATGGATGCATAGCAGCGGCGTTTGCTCAATCAATTTCCTTTCCGTTTGATACCATACGAAAAAAGCTGCAGGTTCGTAGTTTAGGATTTGGATGTTGTAACCCTTCTTCCACATACAGTAATTTCCAATTAGGAGTAAGAAACTTACCAACTCTTTGTGGCATTGGAAGTCCCTCTAATGCACAATCCATTGACCCAGAGTGGAATGGCATTTCCAAGGCTGTGAAAGACATTATTGTACTTTTATGTTGTTTAGCCAGAGATGACCTTATCATTTGCCTGCTTTTGGGTCGTCCCTGCAACGTGCTGAGGGTTCCCTGTGGTGGTGGGTATGATTGACACTGACATGTTTTTTATGGCTTTATGGTTTGTTGGCATATGAATGTTTTATTGTTATGCATACAGTATTCAATTTGAGGTTTGTTCATGTTTTGTGCTCTACAAAGTCCCGTCTGTTCAAATACGAAGAGAAATAAATAATAAACTACAGTAATGTTGCAGCTCAGCTTTCATCATTATATTGTTGCACTATGCATCTAATTAGCTAGGCTATCTACCAAGATTACTTCAATACACCTTTTCCACGAATTGGTAGACTGGTAGACATTAGTAAGACCTGCCAAAGATATACTAGTATCTCAGAATTTTTCATTTCTTTAATCTGCCTGCCCAGGTAAATGTCTGTGGTTCCCATCTGTCCACAGGAATCCACTTTAACAGTACTTCCGGGTAAAGTGCCTTGCCTATAACACAAACTGAATACACACGGTTGAGAGCCCGAGCAACACAACCACTGAGCCAAAACCACTCCCGAATAATGTGCTCCTTCCCTTTTTATCTTCCAGGCAAAAAGTTCTGTGATGCGGGACGGTGGTGGAGTTGATGTCAAATTTAAAGGCATGCTATCCGCATTCACAAGTACAATCGATCATTATGGGTACAAGGGGCTGTGGCGCGGGAACCTCGCAAACCTTTGTAAGGTAACTAATTCAGTACTAAATTTAGTTAAGAATAATGTCATCAGTGAAGAATTCATGGTGAGCCCAGCCAGACAGGGCACCCCCTAAATTTTGCAAAATTATTTTTAAAATGGAGAAAACTAAAAAATTATATTTAAATTTAAGCCCTGTTCAGACTAGCAAATAAAAAAAAATCAAGCCTAAAGCTGTTATATGTTGAAAATTTGAAATATTTTTTTAACTTAAAATTAACAGTAAGGCATCTAGAATCCATGCTACATTGACATTTTTCCAATTTTCAACGATAAAAGAACATTTTTTACAATTTACGGAGGGCATCTCACTGTAAAATGTCAAAAACTTGGTCCATTTTTTACCCCTTTAGTTGCACGTTTCCGAGGCTATGCACTTCTCCATTTTGAAAGCGAACGGCTCCATATTTGGTAATAATGTAAAGGGCAATTTATAAGCTTTTATGTCATTAATCAATTGTGATGATACAATTTTAAATAGTGGAAACAATTCTGTTCTTTCTTGGACACTGAAAATAATGTCTGTTATTGGTTACTCACATAATGATGTAATACTGAGCATGCGCACAGTTACGATTTTAGGCCTAAGTGTAGACTGCCTATCAAGAATTGCTGATAGGCATACGATTGTATCACCAAAGTTTTCGACTGAATTCAAACTCAAATAACTTTCAAACCTGTTTTGGGTTACAATATCTGGGTGTTAGAAAAATATGTTTATATTACTTGGGCCAAATTTTAAAAATGCTGTTTAACCATGGAGGTATTATGAGAAGGAAATCACTCGAAAAAGCTCCTCGCATGCAGCGCTATGCAAATGTGCCAAGGACAAAGCTGCTGCAGCACGTGGAGGATATTTGCACAATGCCTTTGAAGTCTAATGTATTCCCTGCCACCAAATGCTCAGCAGGCTCAGTTTACTAAAAAATTGAACAAAGCGAAATGGAGAGTACCTTCTTTTCTCAATGCGCACTACTTATAATCAGTCACTATGGCTGCGCAGTCATTTCCATTTTGAAGCTGATACATTTATATTTCAAGAAATACCAAACACTATTTCTTCAAAAAAAGAGTTTCAAATAATTGAAATATTTACATTAGATTTAAAAGTATGGTATATTTCAACTTGAATTCCCATAAATGGGAAAATACGTGATAATTTTAACAGATATTAATTAAGAAATGATTGAGGATTATAATAAACTAAGTTATTTTAATGTGAACGAGTGTGGACTATTCAAAAATTCAATCCACTTAATTTCGTCCTGAAAACAGCGCTCTGAACTGTATACGAAATAGTAATTCGAAAATCCGAAAAAATCCAATCAGGGGAACATTGTTAATTTTTAAAGAAATTTAATGAGTTAAAATCAATGGTTTATTGCACAACTGCTGTGTTGAAGCGTATAAAACTATGTCGTTGCAAAGTTGTTAGCTAACAAAAAAGTGTTAATTGTAAGGTAATATGCCCATGCGCGATCATGACCATACAGTACATAGGCATGTCAAATGTATTTGTCAAAATAAAATTTGATAGTGCAGAAAATAACCATTAAAATGCTCATTTTAAGCCCACTCTCTGAGGGAGAGTGCTTACTATGATTTTGAGTGAATTTTGAAGTCATTTCGTTTTCTGTCAGGGCCTTCATTTGCGACGCTATTAGGCTGATCTTGCAATAATATACTGTAGAAGAGAAAGTATGAAGAGTTTTTTTTACGGAGGGTATCTCACTGTAAAATGTCAAAAACTCGGCCATTTTGTACTCCTTTAGTTGCATGTTTCCGACACTATGCGTTTCCGACGCTATGCGAAACATGAAATTGTATGTTTTTATATCATATTTCTTACCACTGGTATGGTATTCCTGATGATGACATAATTAATGTCGTAATATTGAATCCTAACATGATGGCGTGCATTTCAATACTTGGAGTATGTATTATACAGGTACTATCTTATCTTGTATGTTTTGTTGTTGTTTTGGGGTCTATCCATATTTTGTCACACCAATACTCCATGGTCATTGGCGTAGAAGAAAACAATGCCACCACAGAAAGTCTCTAAGTACACTACGGAATAAAATCTTACCTCATCATTTCGAGATCAACTTTTTTGTATACTTGCTCATTAGATGTTGTACGGTATTTCAAAAGGGAAAATGTTTGTAAAGACTGAATATAGAGGAATTGCGCTTCAAACTTAGTGGATTTTCACCCTTTTAATACAGCATAGGCCTAGGTAGGCTAGTAATTATTGGCCTAGGATATGGCTTTCCGTCGTCGGGCGTAGGCTTAAGAGTGCAAGGTGCGCGTGTGTATTAGTTACCATAGTATTACTGTACAACGGTTGTTCATTGGCCTCTGTTATAGATTTTAAAAGTATTGAATTTAAATTTGTTTAAAATTTGAAGATCAAAGAAACAGGAATTCTGTTATCTTTACAAATTAAATAAATAATTCATCTTGATCTACAAATATGAATCAAAGCAGGGGCGGTGCCAAAAATTCTCCAATGAGGGGTCCAAGCTCCACACACACATACACACCCCAACCCCGGGATGCCTACCACCCACCACAGATCGGAGAAAAAATTAAATTTGTCGGGGAATTTTTTTTTTTTATTAAAAAATAATAAAATGATGTGTTAATTATGGGATTCTTTAAAGGATAACCCCTGTCGGAGGTATCAGCCCCGTTAAGGAAGAGCTGGCACCACCACTGCAACCCATACAAGCGCAATAACTGTCAATGCTCGCACTAAACAGGTTTTAATCCTTACAGTTTGACAGCTTAGAAGGTATGCTTTAATTGTACTTTCTGCATTCAATATTTTATTTTTCCCTGACAAAGTTGTTGGAAGTTCTCCATCAGGGGGGTCCAAGTGGGGGGATTTACATTGATGATGATTAGTAACTAATTACTGTACCTATTGAGATGTCAATGTGGCAGCTCAGTAACGAGATATATTTGATTCATCAATCATTTAGCGTATTTGATTGGGACTTGTCACCATCTCCCACTGTAAAACCAGGGGTGGCGCCAGCGGGGGGCCGGGAGGCCAGGACCCCCTTTCGGGGAGAGCTCCCCCTCCCCCGAATTGAGCAGTATTTAAATGGATTTTTTTTTTTTTTTTTCAGATTTATTGCCATTGTCAAGTGGGCTATTGCATCATTATTATTTATGCTCTTGTTAAAGCTCTGTCCAAAAAAACTTTTGTATGACCATATATAGTCATGATAGTCCTATATATGGTCATATGATGTCATCATGACCATATTTAGGCATGTCACAGGTTTTCGTCAAATATAATTGGATAGTCTAGATAATAACCATTGTATGCCCATATCATCTGGCTATATATGGTCATGATGTGATGTCATCAACCATATTTACGCATGTCATGTTTTTTGTAGCCATTTCATAACCACTGTTAAATGCTCTTTGCCCATCAGGTAGTTCCTTATGCTGGACTCATGTTCATGTCCTTTGAAGCTTGCAAACGGGGATTTCTGCATCAAAACGGCTACACAGAAGGCTACTGGGATGATACACCTGTACCAGGTGTTGATCAGAGCCTGAAACCAAACCAACTAAAGGAATGGAATGCCCATCTTAGGTGATGTCACTGTCAGTGATTGTCACAGGTGTTCATCGTTGAGATGAAGTGCTGAATTTGCAGGTTATAACTTTAATAAGTGATAAATAAATAATATTTAATTCTGCAACTACAATCAAGAAATTAAAAACTCCAAATTCAGCTTTTTTAAAGTACTGTAATTCCAATAAATTTTATTACATTTTTTATATCAAAATGAAGATCCTTAAAAATTTATAGACGAAACCACCGGCATAAGGTAGCGCTTGACTGCAGTGGCGTATCTAGCAGTATTAAAATGGGGGGGGGGACGCGACCAAAATATGAGGGGGCGTGGAATTTATTGTCGGTGGTCACGCCCACTGAAAGAAAATCGCTTCTTAGATTCCCGAATACATGTTAACCGTATTAGCATAAGCATAAGCCTAGCCTAATTTTTTTTGCTTCAAAGTTTTCGAATGGGGGGGGGGGGGGGTGTGATTGATTGTCGTCAACATCATACAAAAGAAATGTCTACTTATACTGGATAGGAAAATGAATGCAATCAAATTTGTCAGTAATATTGTGAAAACCTATGAAAACATAACTAGCTTTATTCAAAATATTCTGCAGCTTTTAGTACAAAATATTGACAGTTCATGAAATGAATGGTGAAATTTATTTCACCTTTCTCCGTATCTAGAGCATTCAGTATTTGTTTTACATACCACATACATAGGTTTACAAGACCTAAAAAAGTAGGCTTATTTCCCAAGCCAAGGCAATGAAATGCCCAATCCCTAGTGTCGTAGAGGTTTTGTCTCCTTTAAACTGTTTGTGCGTGTCATAAATTACATAGCGACGCAGCCTAGAGATAGCACATTGTGCGGCAGGGCAAAAAAGTACTATCCCATAGCTTAATAGTACTTTTTATGATTTTGGTGCCCATAACTTTCTCTTAAAGTTCCCCCTCCCCTATGATAACACCCCTACATACACTGTCCATATGGCAGCCAATGAGTTAATTGTACATATATACCACATACATAGATTCTAGGCGTCTGATTGGTTAAGCGGGAAATACCTTAACCATCACTCCTAAGACATAGGTTAGGGTGATTTAGTACTTTTTTCCTGGGGGAAAAAAAGTATTATTATCCCCCTAAATGATAGTCATTTTTTGCCCTGTTGCGATGTATAATGTCTAGACCCCACTTATAACGTGATTGCTATGCAATTTATGAGATGCACATACGGTAAAGAGGTCGCATCCTCTACAATGCTAAGAAAGAGATTAGCCCTGCGGTAATCTAGACCCCTGGTATTCAAGCTCCGGCCCACCAAACATTTTGATCCGGCCCACGCAAAGTTGTTCAGGCCGGTTTTTAGATAAAGTTTTTCACCACCTAGGCAGTAAGCCAGGAGTATTTGGTGGATATGCTCTTTTAATTACTTTCTTTAGGCCTTTTAGAATCTATGCGTGCGGTTATACAAAACAAATATTGACTGCTCTTGATATGCTATGGTCTCCACATCACGTCAGCAGGGGTGGCGTCGGGCAGGTCCTGGAGGGGCTAGTGGAGCGAATCGAGTCTCGCTTGGCTGGGGGCCAGGGGGCCGCCTATGGGCTCCGGTGGGGGTCCAGGGGGCGAAGCCCCCTGGAAGCCACGGATATTTGATGAATTATGGCGAATTTTTATTACTTGATAGGCATCGAGTTACTATAACATGACTTCATGTAGGCTATGCTTTCTAATGTTGACATCAGCTTCCAAAACCAAAACATTTTGAATAAAGCAAGAAACAAAGTGTATGCAATGTAACCATCTAATTTATTTTCAAATCCTCATTCTTGAAAGTGAAATTCTATATTCTGGAAATTTTGCATGAAATCTGTCAACCACGTTGTCATGGTCGAGGTTGCTTCATCTATCACGATGTATTCCTACCATCATGAGGCTATCTAAATGAGCATTTGTCCTAACTGAACGCAAATTATTTTTAATTAGTCTCATTGAATTATTATTATTATTATTATTATAATTGTTATTGTGGTTGTTGTTGTGATGAAAAGTTAACACAACAACAACAACAACGGGGGGGGGGGGGCCCTATGCTTCCCCGACGGGGGGATATAGCCCCCCAGCCCCTCTGGCGCCACCCCTGCACGTCAGGCAATAGATTTCACTATTCCTCTCATGAGCAGTCAATATTTGTATAATATATATATACTGTGTACTGTAATTTAAAAAATTCTGTTAAAATTCATAAAACGACAGAAATAAACTGGCTAGTTATGTAATATATTGCTTATTTATTTGCCTTTTTCATTAAAAGTTACTAAAATATATCAGTTCTTTTTAAATATGGGTAAACTACTTCGCCAGCCAGCCTTCAATATTCCTGATAATTCTTTTACAAGTTCCTTACTGGATTCCTGATTCGCAACATTATAATTCTCCTGTTCATCTGTATCCATCATGTATAGTTCCCGTGCGTGGACATCATTCCAGTTTTGACGAAAATTGCTGGAATCAAAACCTATCCATTCGGTATAACGGTACTTTGAGGTCTGCATCGAATATCCCATAATTGTGATGTTCTGAAGTGGCGACAAGTCCGTCAGCGGACACGGATAATCAGAAGGTCTTGGATACTGCGAGAACGTCGCATTTTTCCATTGGATAATATTTGAAGGTTTTGTTTTTGTGACTTGATTAATCACAGGCACCAGGCTTGTTCCTTCTGTGCAGAAGTCTATCTTGAAAGGTTTTGGAGGGCATGTTGGAGGAACTCGCAGACCAGCAAGTTCTGCCAGAGTTGGAAAGAGATCAACCAGCTCTACAAAAGCATCTGTGGTGAGCTTTGAAGATTGCGAAGGCTTTGTAGGTGCCATCCAATCTGCTAGGCGTTTTAGATGCTTTTCCCTCAGTTTAGTGTCCTTTAGTGGGTTAATTAGTGGGAATGCTTCTCCCCATTTTCTGTGTTTCTTTGTGGTGACTCCTGGGATGTGGAAAAACAAAGGAACTCTTGTTGCCTCTTTGAAGTTGCTGAACTTAGAATATTCTTCATGCTCTCCAAGCTGCCAACCTAAAAATTTAAGTATTCAGAATTAATTATGTTTGAAAATTAGTTATCTGTGTTTACTCCATTGCAATACACAGTACAGTCAACTTTGCCTAAGTAAAATAATTTTAAAGTCAATATTAAATTGTTGTGTTTTTATATAATTAACCATCTGTAAGTAAAATTTTTTCTTAAGTTGAAAAATTTTCCAATGCCATTTTGGATTCGACTTAGGAAAATTCAACTGTGCTCTAATTTACAGCAGTTGACAACAGACGGTCTATGTACTTAGTATTAAATTATTTGGATATGATAAAAGGATAAATACAAACAAATTGCAGAGACGTAAAAATAGTTAAGAAAACAACATTAAAATTCAAAATAATTATTTGGAGTGGCATTGTTTAATCATGAGAAAAATCTCGGAATTTGACCTCAGGACCCTGGGATTGAAAGGCAAGCATCTTAACCACCAATCTATTGTGGTGTGTAAGAATGCATATTACCCAATACACAGAATTTTATTTGATAATACATTTCCAGGTCCCTCTTTATAATATTCACAGTATACTTCCTACCCCCAGGTTACCTCACCCCCAGGTTACCTCTCCCCCTTCAAATATAACATAGCATTACCGTGATCTCCTTTAAATGATATGATAGTATTATCAGCAAAACCAGCCTTTTCCAATTCAGATAAAAGACGACCAACTTCGTAATCCATGTAGGAAGTCGCAGCAAAATAATTCTGCCGGATAAGACGCTGGAAAAAGCAAGCATTTATTTGAAAGTCTACTACAGAATACAACACTTCACACCACCATAAAAGGGGAAGGTTGGTCTTACTACAGTATATTGTTTCATTATTTATACAAGAAATGACATCTCAAAACCACAGCTAAATGTTAAACTGAGTAACTGTAATCAAAGGTCTTGTAAACACAAGATGGCATTCTCTGCGATTTTACGCGTAACAAAAAAGTGGCACAGAAAAGTAATAACTTTTGGGAGAGGGCGACCTAGCCATTGCCATGGATCTGAGATAGGGTGTTCGCGTTATGCCAAAGTTTGTTAATGAGTATGTTAATTTGTTCCTTATGTTCTAAAGAGAGGGCGCGTTGTTAATCGGACACTAATTGTTACGTGTGTCGTAAAGTCACGATGCGTACGCTATGGTCAGAGCGGTCAAGGTTCAAAAGTTTAGCAAGAGGGCGCCCTTCATGCATTATTGGAGAATTGCTATCTTGTGTTTATAAGATCTTTGCTGTAATTAGAATAAGAATGTGGCAGTATTGTACACTTTAGTACTCAGAAGCCATGATACTTGTATTCATAACTTTGACAATAGTATAACTCAATTCCAGTAAATGATCCATCATTTTAAAGCTTTATAAGGCGAGACTTCTTTTATTCCTTGTTTAGCGCACTTACTTTTTTAAAGATATCGGAGGGCGGCAAAATAAAAATATAATTTTGTTTTCATATTTAGCAAATAGTTTTGCCAATAACATCCAGATGGAGGAGAAAATATTGGTTTATTGGTGAATGTAAAATGGGATGGTTAAATGTTTCAAATTTATATAATTATTAAGAAATATACATATCTTGTCTTTGCAGATTTCAAGGAAGCAGAGGGCGTAAAAAATTTTTTAAAAAACTAATTTTTTTTTCTGAAATTTCCATTTTTCGTGGCGGCGGGTGTGCTAATTGGCTAAAAATAAAATTTTGTTTTTATTCGTAATCATCAATATTTGCAGTCGGCAGGTTCGCTAAACAAAGTACAGACGGATCCAAGAAAACGTTAAGAAAGGACCAGGACCAACTAATGTGAACTTAATCGGTTTGGTGCAATTTTATTTAAAAAAAATTTATTTCATCATTTAAAAAATGGGCAAATTATTGCCTGTCCAGACCATCAAATTTTATTTGACAAAAAAAAAATCTGTTTTATGTCCTTAAATGGTCATGATGTGATGTCATCAGGACCATGTTTTTGTCATATAATAATTTGATAGTCTGAACAGAGCTTAAGGAACATATGACAGAGGTGCTTCGTATGCTGCATTATAAGGCTATATAGGGCTTTGGGAGTAGAGTTGTATTACAGGAACTGAACCTAGTACCCTAGGATTTTAAGGCTATGACGCCCCCCCCCCCCCCCCACTTTCCCTCCAAAAAAAAAGCTTGAATCCCCAGTCGTACCCACCCCTTAAAAGTGTTTAAGCAAAAAAAAAAATGCTTTTAAGTAGATAAACATCACCTTATTTTGCGAGCCAGCGCCACTTACTTAATCGATCCCCCACTTCACATTCCCACCCCCATCAGACCCATTTCAAGACTCTAGAAATGGTGCCAAACTCCACTGTAGCAGAGTGAAGATATTACCTGGTATTTTAATGGTACTGGTCCAAAAGGATAACTGATATTCCAACTCTGGACATCCTCTCTTGTCCTCATCATCTGATATGGTTCCCACGCTACTGTTGGAAGATCCGGAGGGAAGAAGTTATTGGGTGGCATCCAGATGGAATCCAGTGGGTACAGTTCCTCATATTCCTTTGGATATTTAAATGGTACGTGTGGCTTATGGTAGCCGACGGCTAAAAAGAACGGTTGTGTAAAGTTTTTGCTAGTTTTTGTCAGTTTAGAAATGTTCTTGATGATTTCGATTGCATGGTCCGTGCTCTGTATATCTGGTAGCGATTTGCCGGGCATCTTTGCAACATCAACAGGACAGATCAGATTTTCATGGAGGGTCCCATCTGGATTCTCACAAACCTAGGAGGAATATAATTTAACAGAACTTATGCATTTAAAAATAAATATATATATATATTCCTATCTGTAGACAAACAGATAATTCACACATTTGAACTCCTGACCTCAATGAAGCCTCAACCATAAAAACACTGCGCAAACCCCTCCCTAAACTCTAATTCAATGTGCCCAGCCGGTTGAACGAGCTTTGTTATAGATTTGCTCTTACTAACCTTAGATGTTTTGTTCAGTTGTGTCGGTGGGTGATAAGCAGGGATTGACCAACTATACGGGTAATCATCATTTCCCCCTGACGCTTTACCTATGAGGGGAAAAAATAATGTACTGATTAACATGTTACAGTATTTAAAAGTATGTTGGTCACATCTGCATTACGGTATGCGTCCATGCTAGAAAGCAAGAGGTTATCCTATTACAAGTCAGTAAAATAGAAACATCTTTACTGTGGAATCGGGGTAAAATCATTTGATTATTATCATAGGGATAGCGGGATACTAGACCCTTTACTTATGCATACCAGTGACCCAGAGTGCAATGACCTTTTTTCATACTTCAGCCCAACATCCATTACCTGGATGCATAACTTTTCCAACACTAGCTGCGAAATATCCATTCTCTTTGAAATGCTGCGGTAAAGTTGTGAAGTTGCCTGCAAATGTTCGCCAGTAGGATTTAAAGTTGTACAGTTTAGTTGTGTCTGGCCGTCTGCTTGTCAAAAACGAGATGCGACTTGGGGCACATACAGCTTGCTGAAATACAAATGAAACAGTAATTGCATTATAGATTTACAGTAGCTTTTAATTTTTTTGCCAGAATATAGCCTACTCTTACTTACACACTAAATTGGAACTGCATTAATAGTAATAATATAAATGCCAAATATTTATAAAGCAGCAATTCCAAATTGAATGATCAAAGGTGCTTGATATGTGGACTGGTAGCTAGATCAATGACGTACTTTGCCCCTAGGGGTCCCTTCGTGTCTGTGCTACCTGGTAACCCTGTACTATAAACTCTCATCATCCACCAGAAAGGCGGTCTGTTCCCAAGTTTTTCATCAAACAAAAATCAGCTGTAAAAACACATGGAAAACAACAACTTCTTTTTTAGAGCCTGGCTTAAAAGAATTAAAATTGACAATGGCTGTTACATTCACATTGCTTGACACATTATATTAATTATTTATGCAAATTCCAACCTGGACATAGGCTTGAGTGAATATCACTGACTGTTGGGCAAGCTGATCAATATTTGGAGTCAAAATTCTGTCATCAAAGCAGCCGAGAGCAGGTCGGAGGTCATCTATGACGATGAAAAGCACATTCGGTTTTTCAGATTTTGATGTTTCTGAAACTGGAAAAACACTCATTTATGTTAAAAACTGTAGATTTAATAGAAAGCAATGCATGGAGAGAGAATTGAGAAATTAATCTCTATTGTTAAAGCCCCATTCCCAGCAAAATTTCACTAAAAAGATTGTTTTTCAGAAAAAATGCATATGCATAACTCTATTTATTACAAACAATGGAAAAATATTGGCATAAATTTTAGTTTTACGCAAAAGATTTTAAAAAATGAGAAACACAGACTACAGTTGAACTTGCCTAAGTCGAATCCAAAATGCCATTGAAATATTGTTCGACTTACAGATTGCTAATTAATTGAAAACACAACAATTTGGCATGTAAAATTAGATCGACTTAGAAATTATTCAACATAGGCAAAGTTGACTTAGGCAAGTTTAACTGTATTTTTCAATCATAGATCATTTTCTTGACAAATTCTTCGTTACTAGGCAAATTCAGAGGTTGTAAATCTCATTTATGTATACTTTATATAGTCAATAAAGTGCGCCCTCTCTAATTAAATTGGTTTTTGTACTTCGCATCTCGCACACTGTGATCGATCGAGTAGGCCTGAGATATGTTTGTTAATTGTCAAAATCTCGGTCATAATCATTTAACAGATTTGAAATAATTCCTATGAAATATTATATTTCACAAGTGTCAATACTAACAACAGAAAATATCATGTCGGCCGTTCACATCACGCACAGAACATGGTAGTTCGGGTTAAGTACGTATGCGTTCGATTGGTTCGAAGCAACCAAGCTTGTTGCTGATTGGTTGGCTCTCAGATCCATCGGTCCAGATCTGGAATTTAAAATCGTATGATTTTGATGTGAACGGTCATATTCTTTACCACTGAACCCATTTTTCACGATTTTCTCTCCAGATTCAGGACCGGAATCAGCCTTGATGCGAACGCAGCATAATAATCATCCATTTTTCTATATGTGAGCTAGGCCAAAGAGTATAAATAGAACAAGAGAGCCAACAACGCTCATTGGGAGCGTAAAAAAACGATACGCTCTACGCAGCTAGTGTAGGACGCCAACTAACGCTTGTATATGTTTTATTACCCAGTACTGCACC